AGCCCCTCTGGAGGGCCGCGCGGGAATCGTGATCGAACGGCGAGCAACCCCACGTTCCTCGCCTCCGCCCACGCGCTCGTTCCGGCCTCCCCGTTCTGGTCCCCTGGCTTTGTTCTTTCGAATGTATGCACGCGCTTCACCTCAAAGTGCAAATTTGAACCAGCCCACCATTCGAGAATACACAGCCCGCAAATACTTTAGCAGCCCCCCTCCCCGCGCCCCGGCGGGCCTAAAGTGGCAAAGTGACTGTGTGTTGACGAGATTCCCCACCCAAAATGAGCGGCAGCGCAAGGAAGATGACAGTAGATGGCATTTGTAAAAAAAACAAAACAAAAAAAGACAATCGGCCGCAGTTCTTATCCCCTGCGGGCTAGGGGGGCGGGGCGGGGCGTTCCCTTGAATTCGGTACGAGTTATTTCAAAGGACAGAACCGAGAGTTTTAAGGGCCTCCTCAATTAGGGATGGATTAACTTCATTATTACAACAACTAGTAATGCGGGAGAGTCTCAGGTTCAGGATACGTGTGAGAGAAATAACGCAAGCCGACTTGCATTGTTATGGGGCTCATTTGTAGCGCTGGTCATCGGTAGGATTGGGTGTAAGGGAAACAGGTAGAAACTGGAGCCACAACATCTGTGTCCAGGGCCCAAAGGTCTTTCTTGGCTCTGCCAACTGAACCGGGAGGCTTGTACCTAAAAATCGTACGTGCAAAGCACCACCACACCCTTCATGCTTCACACCCTCCCCCCTCACCGCCTCGCTTACTTCCTACCAGAAGCGTTCCCTGAAAGTAGATCTGGAATGACCGACCCCTGCGACCTCTCGGGGGCCCATAAACAATTCCCAACTTTATGGCTAGCTCTGGAAATGCCAGCACCCATCCATCTACTTCTGTTTACACTATACAAATACTATACAAATCAAGATGCATTAGCCTGCTTTCCAGAAAGACAAAGAAACTCCCTCACAATTTTTCTGCTAAAGAACAAAGGACGCGACGGCCGGAGATCATCTGAAAGGGGTGCTGGCGACAAGAGACTCCGTTCGGAGAGTCTAACATTCGCGGTCCTTTGAGACACACAAAACAATCTGGAATCGCCAACATTCCAGTGAGTTCTTGTTCTTAAAGAGCCCTCGTTCGAGGCATAACCCTCGAGCACAATCCTATCCACCTTTACTCGAAAATGCGACCCTTTGAATCCAGTGTTTATAATAGGGTTAGTGTATATGGCGCTGTTCCAAAACCTCTATTCAGAGCACGTTACCATAGTCTCTCGAGACTGAAGGGTGCCTATTTTAGTGTGTATACTGTATATGGCAAGAACAGAGCAGGTACCATTCGACCGGTGCCGCTGGACTGCAAATCCCATCATCCTTCACAATTGGTTGTTTCAGAGTCACAACCTGCAGACTCTCGCCCTAAGGAATTTTATAGGTTCCTGTAGTTAAAGGATAGTATATAAAACCGCCTGATAGTAAGGCAGGCGTCGGGGTTTTGGGCTGGTCGCAGCACACAGATTCCTGACGTCATGGAAACTTTTCAGGTCAAGGAAAAACACCGAAATTTCTTGTAAGTTACCACTTTTTACTACTGGATAGTTCCAGCCAATTCTAGGTCTGCATGAAGGATGTTTCACGTTGGTGAAAGACACTGTTAAAAAAAGAACTGATTCAGATCAACGTCCTCACTCTAGTGTTCTCCAGGTGTGTTAGGGAACCACCACTATCTTCCCGCCAACACAGCCAATGGTCATGCTGGCTGAGAATGATGGGAGAGGTAGTCAAATATATGTGGAGGACAGCAGACTCAGGAAAACTGATTTAGGTTATTTCAAAAGCTATAGGTTAGTTATATTGCTGTTTTTTAATCAGGAGCATTTTAGAGAACACGTGTGTATTTTTTGTGGCTTGTTATAACACGTTTTGTTATAATAGGGCTTCAGCAGTATGTGGACCAAGAACTCCCAGAAGTACAAGAGTGATTTCGAAGGGGCAGAGGAACTAGAGACCAAATTACTAACATGCACTGAATTATGAAGAAAGCCAGAGAGTTCCAGAAAACATCTACTTCTGCTACATTGACTACGCAAAAGCCTTTGACTGTGTGGACCACAACAAACTATGGCAAGTCCTTAAAGAAATGGGAGTTTCTGACCACCTTATCTACTTCCTGAGAAATCTATATGTGGGACAGGAAGCAACAGTTAGAACTGGATATGGAACAACTGATTGGTTCAAAATTAGGAAAGGAGTACGACAAGGCTCTATATTGTCTCCCTGCTTATTTAACTTATATGCAGAATACATCATGCGAAAGGTTGGACTGGATAAATCCCAAGCCAGAATCAAGATTGTCAGGAGAAATATCAACAACCTCCGATATGCAGATTATACCACTCTGATGGCAGGAAGTGAGGAGGAATTAAAGAACCTCTTAATGAGGGTGAAAGTGGAGAGCGCAAAAAATGATCTGAAGCTCAACATAAAAAAAAAAAAACTAAGAACATGGCCAGTGGTTCCCATCCTCTCCTGGCAAATAGAAGGGGAAGATATGGAGGCAGTGTCAGATTTTACTTTCTTGGGCTCCATGATCACTGCAGATGGTGACAGCAGCCACGAAATTAAAAGACCCTTGCTTCTTGGGAGGAAAGTGATGCCAAACCTAGACAGCATCTTAAAAAGCAGAGACATCACCTTGCCGACAAAGGTCTGCATAGTCAAAGCTATGGTTTATCCAGTAGCGCTGTATGGAAGTGAGAGCTGGACCATAAAGAAGGCTGACTGCCAAAGAACTGATGCTTTTGAATTGTGGTGCTGGAGGAGACTCTTCAGAATCCCCTGGACTGCAAAGAGAACAAACCTATCCATTCTAAAGGAAATCAACCCTGAGTGCTCACTGGAAGGACAGATCCTGAAGCTGAGGCCCCAGTACCCTGGCCATCTCATGAGAAGAGAAGACTCCCTGGAAAAGACCCTGATGTTGAGAAAATGTGAATGCAAGAGGAGAAGGGAATGTCAGAAGATGAGATGGTTGGACAGTGTCATCAAAGCTACCAACCTGAATTTCACCCAACTCCGGGAAGGAGTGGAAGACAAAAGGGCCTGGCATACTCTGGTCCATGGGTTCATGAAGAGTGGGACACAACAACTAAACAACAACAACATAACACATTTTGATAAAGATTTTCAAAGTAAATGCCACTTATTTTGTTATTAAAAGAAAATAGAAATTATAAAATAAATGTGAATTTTTTAATGTTGATTATAGTTCACTAAAGCTCAAGTAAAAATAAACCTGTTTGTTTTTAAAGTGCCAAAAGATTTCCCCCCTTTTTATATTCATCACATTGCAAGACCTGTTTCAAAAGTAAAATTGATACAAAGCCAGAAATAGCAAAGCAATTGTAAACATTTATACAATCAGACATTTTAGCGGTGCTAACAATGGCTCCAAGTTCTTCTGAGAGAAGAAAAATGGCCATTCTGTTTTTGCTATGAGGGTGTGCTGATAAGTATTGAGCCTTTCCCAGAAAAAAATTGTGCTAGGAAGCTGTAACAGCCACACTATTCTACATATTTCCCCAGGAAGTCAATGCACTTGCGACATCTGTCCTGCAGCTTCTTAAGTCCCTGCAAATAAAATTCTTCCGCCTGCTGGTGTAACCACTTATTTGCAGCATTAGTTGCTTCCAGAACACTCCCAAATCGTTGTCCATTTAGGTGTTTTTTGAGTTTGGAGAACAGATAATAGTCGGAAGGAGCCAGGTCGGGAGAATAGGGTAGATGGGGCAGTTTTGTCATTGTTTCGCCTGCAGTGTGTGACGAGGCATTGTCATGCAACAGGATGACACCTTTGGAGAGCTTTCCTCAATGTTTTTCCTTGAGGTTTTGCCTCAACTTTGTCAATAAAGCACAGTAATATTTTGCATTGATGATTGAAACCTGTTGGAGGTAGTCCACCACCAGAACTTCCTTCTTCCAATGTGTAGCCTGTATAATTAACTTGTAAACCACCCAGGGAGTGTTTGAAGCGCTATGGGGTGGTATATAAGCAACACGCTTTGCTTTGCTTTGCTTTTATCCCAAAAAACTGTTGCCATTTACCTCTGCACCAACCTTTGTACTCGGAATGTCTTTGGACTGGGGGAACCACTTTACCTCCATTACTTAGAGTGTTCCTTTGTCTCAGGATCATAACAGTAGATCCATGTCTCATCACCAGTTACCAGTTTGCCCAGGAAATCTGACTCATTTCTTGTGAAACGTTCCAAAACAGCCACCGATGACTCCACACGTTTCCTCTTTTGTTCGGTTGTCAAAAGTTTGGGGACCCACTTTGCTGACAGTGTTCTCATTTCCAAGTCATTGTGGGTAATGGCACCAGATCTCTCACATGATATTCTCAGATATATAGCAATCCTTCTGGCTGATATTTGGCCATCCTTCATGATCATGTCGTGGATGGCTTTCACATTTGAAGGCACAGAGACAGAAACAGGCCTTCCACTGGGTTTCTCATTGTCAACACCAAAATGGCCAGTTTAAAAATTGACAACTCAACGTTTAACTGTTGCACATGAAGGGCCACTGTCACCCATAGTTCGTGACATTTCATCATGGATCTGCTTTGCACCTTTCCCTTGAAGAAACAGGAACTTGATTATGGTCCTATGCTCTTCCACACTGAACTTTCCTGGAGATGCTGCCATGTTCACTTTGGACCTGAACATGAAAGATAACTTAAAATCATAGGTAGTTGATTTTTGCACCATTGAATACAGACAAATTGGTCAATACGCCCTGCAATTTATAGCTTACTAGTTCAATTTTTTTCTGGGAAAGGCTCAATACTTATCAGCACCCCCTCGCATAAAAAGTCTATGCAGCTGTTTTGTTTCTTTCATTAAACACTGAAATGACTGCAATACAAAATTGCCCCCCAGCAATCTACCCTTCCAGGTATGAGCCAGTCTCCTTTCTTTCCAGAACCAAATACTTGTTTCTTCTCCTGTGACTGATATCAAGTTGGGACTGAAATCTTGGGCAGAAAACTTGTTTTGCACACCTTTGGCTTAGGATCTACCCAAATTTAGTTGTCACATTTTTCCCGTCAAGAATCAAAAAGGGGGAAATTGTTTTTAGAGATAGATAACGTTATCGGTATTTATATTCGTCACTGATATTCTCTACATTTTTTCTAATCAGAGATGTGTCAATTTTACTCTTCTTTAGGGTTTAGAGGAGGGCAATTTTTGAGAGTTCTGATTTTTTCATTTATTTCTAGGACTGGATAAAATGATTAGTTTAAGTTTGGGAGTAAGTGAAAAATGAATTCCAGACGAACATTCTTGCTTCTCGGTGCTTGCGCCAAGAACAACAAACGGTGGGCAGATGCCTGAGGAAACGAGGGACAGGATATTGTGCTTTGAATAGGTTAATAGGAGAACACTTTAACCCGCTATGCATTTGCCCTGAGGTGGAAAACAGGAAGAAAGCTGCTGGAGTCCAAGCTGGCAAGCGTTCTTTCCAGCACAAGAGACAGCTCCTGCCGGCGAAGGGAGGAGCTTTGTTACCATAGAGGTTCAGGTGGCTAGAGTGGAAAGCAGCCCGCGGAACCATGGGCCGCTCTGCGCAGCTCGGAGGCCAAACGTCGTCGCTCTCCGGCTTTGAAATGGCGGAGGAAGAGGGGTACCTGACGGTTTCAGGGGAGCGCATCACGTTGCAACGCCGCCACCACAGCGCCTCCTGCCGGGAGTTCCAGGTCCGCTGCCCGAGGCTGCAGCTGCGATCCCTCAGTGCCGTCACGTGCACTGTGTGGCTCGTGGCGTACGGACTCTTCGTGGTCAGCCAGGTAGCAGCGGAAAGGCTTTCATTGCAGACATGCGCGTTCCGTCTTTACAGGGATTTGGGGAAGGTTACCTGTTGGTATGAAGCCCTCCAGAGTCCCCAGTGTTCACCGGGTATTCTGGGAGTTATGACTCAGAAAAGTAACTTTTCCAAGCTCTGGTCTGTTTGGAAAAGGGTGGGGAGGTGAACCACCAAGTTTCCAGACACGGCTAAGGAACCCTCGGTTAATCCGGCGCCGATGGTTTCAGCCCAGCCTCTTGACGAAACGCATCCTTCCGCCTCCGTTTCGTATCGCCCGGACGCCTCTTCAGCTCCGGGCGTTGCATTTCATTTAATCCACTCGTGTGCCCTTCTCATTTTGTGGAATTGTGTAGTTCTGGCATTTGGAGTACTTGGAAGTGCGGTCATATCCCAGTGAGAATGGGATAAACTTCCTCTACCAAATTACTGTAGTTGTGTGTAGAGGCGAAGCAGGACTTAGAAGACCTGCTTTAAATCTTTGCTTTTCCATGGGAACTCACTGGTGAGTGGCACTCGAAACTACTCCTGAAATACCTTGTGTACTTTGAAAACTCTGTTAGGGTTGCTATGAGTCATAACAACAAATAGAAACGTGCAGTAGGTAAACACCAGGTATATGTACCAAACAAAAATAATTAGAGTCCTCAGTATGTCTATTGTCAAAAACAGTTGGCATAGGCCTGGGTTTGAATCTTTCCCTCCCTTTTCTGATCCTGGATGCAGAAAGTACTTTTTTTGAAAATTCAAAAGCATTGTCTTGGCTCATAAAGTGTAAATAAATGCATTATCATATGCTTGAGTACAAAAATGTCTGCAATTTTAAAAAATCTAGGCTGCAATCCTGGGTGTGCTTACTTTATAGTAAGGATCATTGAGCCTCACCACCCCCAGATTACACTACACTGGAAATGTTTTATAAACTGGTACTCAGAAGTGGTTTAGAATTCCCATCTTGTGGGGTTGCTCTGCTACTTTGTGCGTTTTGTGATGTCAAGTAGGAACCAATGTACAGCGACCCTAACAGGGCTAGCAAGGTAAGTGAGATGTTTAAGGAGTGGTTTTACCGGTTCCACTCCCCAGTGAGCTTCTGTGGCTGAGCAGACATTGTTGTCCAGTTTTCTAGTCCATCCTATCCACTACACTACACTGGGAATCACTCAGAGTACTGCTCTGGTACTGTGCTAAATCCAACAGTTAATCTAATTAAAGTAGATCCATTGAACCAGTGGAACTTAGATGAATGTTAACTGTTTCCATTCATTGCGTCAATGGGTCTGCACTAACATTTGGGTTTAGATCTGAGATTGTAACTTTTGAACAAAGGAATATATTTCAAAATGCAGGAAGCAAGGCTCGTGTTGCTGAAAGCTTAACAATTATTTAACAATTCACTCTTCTGTGTAATTTCACTCCATCTCAAATAAAACAGACTGCATGGGCTGCTCTTCCTTTCCTTTGGAGCAGGGGTTTCCAAACTTTTTAGTATGAGGCCCACATAATCTATTTTACACATTTTCGAGGGCCAAAGAAGGGAAGGGGGACTCAAGCGATCCCCCACCTCCACTGTCTTTGCAAATCAGGCTTAACTCCGCTTCCTATGCTCGGATAGAGATAGGAAGAGGAGCAAAGCTTGACAGAAGGGACCCCCCACCCCTGCTGTCTTTGCAAAGACAGCGGGGTGGGGGATTGCTCTGGTCCTGCTTCCTTCCTCTCCCTATGCCTGGACCAGATAAAAAGGCAAGGCAGACAGGAAGTGGCTTGTGGGCCATCGTTTGGAGACCCCTGCTTTGGAAGTTTGTGTAATGCCTGTCTTCAGTGCATTGCTTTCTGGATAGGAACAGACCTGACTTGTGTTTGATGAAGTGCAGAGTTTGGTCTTACGTTTCCAACTTCTTTTCCATTACAGAACAATGTCGTGCTTTCTGCTGCTATATTCATCACACTGATTGGCTTGCTTTTATACCTGCACTTTGTGAAAATTGACCATGAGTCCCTGTTGATTGTTGGCTCACTTGGGATACAGATGACTTCCTCTTATGCATCTGGCAAGGAAAGCACAACATTTATAGAGATGAACCAGGTAAAAGATGTGGTAATCAACGAAGCCATCTATATGGTAAGCATTACTTTTTTGTGGTGGTGGTGGTTCTTGTATAGATCTTCAGAAAATGTATATTGCCTATATTGTTTGTCTGAAGATAAATATTAAAGGGACTTCGGGTAGCAAGTTTTCGGGCAAGAGCAGAAAAACAGCTTTGTGGGTGGAAAACTAGCAAAAGAACAAATGGATAACCTGTGACCTTCCAGATGTTATTGGGCTCCAGCTCCAGTTTCTTTAAGGCCACCCGTCATGGTCAGTGGCCAGGTATTATGGGATTTGTCCTCCAACAACTTCTAGAGGGCTACAAGTTCTCTGCATTTGCTTTAGCTGTTCTTGAAATAAAGGTACTCTGAACTGAGCCTCACCACCAGTTTTTAATGAGATTGGAATAGTTTCAGAGTTGATCCACAGTTTGGGTGAGATTAAATTTCTGACTTGGTTGTCAGATGGAGGTGGAGGTTGCAGTTCTCTTTAATCCCTTTTCTCTGCCAGTTCAGAAGAGCCTTTAGGATGGATCCAAGCAACCAAAGTTTACTGATTTCTCTAGGACATTAGTACCATTCTCAAGGCATTTCAGTAACCAGCAGAAGTGGGTAAAGATGCAGTGCACACATTCGATGAGGAGACATGGAGATTCATGAGGAAGAAGAGGAGGGTTCCTGAGCATGTGGGGATGCAAGAATGCATTGCTTTTGTCCAAGCAGCATAGAGATGGAAGGCTACCTATTAGAGGAGGGAAGCTCATGTGTCTTCCCAGAATTATGGTGCTTTGTAGTTTCTAGTGCTGCAAGCTAGGTCATAACGCAACCAGCTAAGGAAAATAACTTCTGATCTTGCTCTGTATTCTGAAGTTTGGAACCTCTTACAAAGGTGTGTTTTTCAGATAATATATTTCAGTGTATTTGGAAGATTCAGTACTTGCATTTGGATGCTGTTTGAAAGCAGTAATCCAGTTTTGTGATTATACCATGATGTGTTTGTTTGGATGCTTTTAAAAATAGCCTTCTGTGATAGATAATGAAGAACACATTTCTTATCCTTTAATTTTTTTTCTGTTTTATAGCAAAAGGTTATTTATTACCTCTGCATCCTTCTCCAGGACCCTGTGGAACCTCATGTTGTTTCTGAAGTAGTGCTACTGTTTCAGGTGAGTCCATAATATGCTGTTGGAGATTATAATGACTTGACATCATACCATGTTTTCCTTTGCCAGGATACTTTTGGAAGTCCATCTATTTGATTTCAGTGTTTCTTCAATGGGAAGTATAGAGGACTGTTAGAAAAGGTAGCAAATATGTGATAGGCCATGCATCATTAACTACTGTTTCTCATTCTGCAGAACTCTTCAGAGTTCCAGAGACTATTGTTCTTACGTGATCTTGTTCTCAGTGTCCAAGAAATAGGGTTTGCTTTGGGTTGAAATTCATTGACTTGCAGTAGTTACAATTTTAGATACAGCAGTGTCATGCTCAGTTGAGCATGGACCGACTCCTGAACTTTCTAGATAGTTAATTTAGCACTGGTAGGTGGGGTAGTAACTGTTGTCACTCTTTGGAGCATTTAAGCCTGTAATTTTCTCAGTTATGTCAACTCTGAATACAATTTACCAACCCAGTGAGCCTATTAACACTTCTATAATCATGTACTAAATTAACCAGTTCAATGGAATTCCCACGGACAGCTTTCACAAGAAACATTCCAAAATGGACTTTATACTAAGAGATGTTTTCAGGAACTCAGAAGTCAGAGAGCAGAGAATGTGGGCTATAATGGGAGATAAACAACTAGAACCATAAACATTTTGTTCTTTAGTGATTGGTTTATCTCAGACCATTGTGGTCATCTTCTGTATTGACTACTGCAATGGGGCTCTCCCCTTGGGTTTCACCTGGTGATTACAGCAGGTGCAGAATGTGCTGGTCAAACTGGTGGCTGGTGTGAGCAAGTTTGATCACATTATCCCATGCTTGGCTCTCCTACATTGGTTATCTGTTGCATCCTGGGTCAGATTCAAGGTTTTGATTATCACCTATAAAGCTTTTCTTGGTTTGGGGCTACACTACCAGTCAGAGTGTATTTTCCCAAGGTCATCTATCTACTCATAGCCTCATGGCAAAGTGATTAAAGTGTGCTCACAATCCTGGGTTCAATCCCAGGTAGCTGGATTGAGGTTAACTCAGCTTTCTATCCTTCCAAGGTTGGTAAAATGAGTACCAAGCTTGCTTGGGAGGGGGGGTGGAATGTGTAGCCTGCGTAATTAACTTGTAAACTGCCCAGAGAGTGCTTGAAGTGCTAAAGGGCACTACATAAGCAACACACTTTTTTTGGCTTTGCTTTACTCCACTTGGTTCTTCCAGGGTATGCTCCCCTGGGTAGCCACTCCAAAGGAGGTGAGGAAATCATCCAACAGGCCTTCTTTGCTATGGCATCAACAGTTTACTGTCTATGAGAGGCAAAAGGGGAATCATGACAGTACTTGCATATATTTAATCACATAAGCATACGTATATGTTCCATAGTATGAATCAATGAATGTGAAAATAATAAACATCACATTAAACATTATTAATCACAATTTAAAAAACATAATTGAATGAGCTGAGCATTTTCTGTTCCTATGAGAATTCTAATATGAAAATTAGCAGTAGGGCTAGGGTTAGCAGAAGGGTTTAATATAGACATTTCTAGAACCCACCAAGAATTCCAGTATTTCAGTGGGGACAGCCTCCTGATCAGAAGATGCTACTTCTGTTTCTCAATGTATTAGCTTTCTGAAAATCGAATAGGGCCTTTCTTGGGTCAGTATTAGAGATAGGGACATAATGAGGGTCCACTCACCGATCCGCTGCTGCCGTGGGCGCTGTGGAGCCTTCCAATGGCTCAGGAGATCATGTTCGGTGAGCCACTCTTCAACCTAGCAGAGAGGCTTGTCGTCCCAGCTCCTGCCAGGAGTGGTGAGCCAAACGCAATCTCTGGAGCCATTGGAAGGCTCTGCGGCACCCGCAGCAGCGGCGGATCAGTGAATGGATCCTTGTTATGTCCACTTGTGCAGGGGTATTCATATACGAATATCCCCATCTTTAGTTAGTACCATATTTGCCGGCGTATAAGATGACTTTTTTGCCCTGAAAAACATGCCTCCAAATGGGGAGGTTGTCTTATATGCCGGGTGCACCCAGAGCAGGCAGCATGTAGCGCAAGGAGGAAAGAGGAGAGGTGAACGAGGAAGAGGAGGAGGAAGAAGAGGCGGAGGCGGCGCCTCTTCTCCTGAGGAGGCAGCAGGTGGCTCCGGCTCTCAGCAGCTGCATAGCCCAGCAGGAAGCAGCATGGAGAGGCGAACGCAGCCTGGGAAGCGGGCGGAGCTCGGTCCCCACCGGCTCAGTCACTTCCTCGACACAGTTGCCTTAGTGGAAAGCAGCAGCAGCAGCAGTGCCACCTCTTTCTTCCCTGTGACCTACCAAGTTTCCTCGGGAGCCCGGTGCGGTGGTGGCGCTGGTTACGAGCGGGGCGGCGCTGGCTTGTCACAAGCGCCGTTTGCTTGCCAGCTTTTCTCTTGCTTCAAGCAAGCAAGAGAGAAGCTGGCAAGCAAACGGTGCCTGCGACAAGCCAGCGCCGCCCTGCTTGTCGCCAGCAACATCGCTGTGCCGGGCTCCCGAGGAGACTTCCAGAGACCGGGCGAGCAAGCAGGCGCTGGCCTCTGCCTTGGGCCAGCTGGTAGCCTGCCCCAGAAACTTGCTTTCCTTCTCCTCCCTCTTTGGCTCCTCCAGCGGGATAAAAGGCAGAGGGAGGGGGTAGTCTTATACGGCGAGTATATAACGAATGCTAGATTTTGAGTGGAAATGTTGGGGTCGTCTTGTACGGCCAGTCGTCTTATACACCAGCAAATACGGTATGTTATCTTGGCAGGGACAGTGAAGTCCTGCAGTGAAAAAAATGAAGATTTGTTGAGCTCTCTTTGTTCCAGCATTTTTTCTGTAAACAAAATATCTATATGGCAGGCATATCCAGACAAAAATAAAAGCAAAAGCAAAAAACAAAAATGTTATAGTACTCTAAAGATTGTTATATGTCAATGTGAACTTTTGTGGATACATCCACTTCTTCATAAGAGGATCAAATACATTGTTTACTATCTTTTAAATCTTGTTTAACTACTTATTTGTGCATTCTGTAACAACATGTATCTCTGGGATCTAAAATGTGACATTCTCATGCACAAGGGTTGAAGATTAGTATGGAAATATTCACTTAGACATCTGATTAACAAATGAGATATATTGTAAGTTTACATTATGAAACTCATATAAGTGGAAATCCTGTTGGTGTGAGTTTATTGCCTTGCAGTTCAGAAGATGTCATTATCTAGTGATGGAAATGCTTAATTTAATTTAAAACTTCCTATACTGCCACCCCCAACCCAGGTCAGTTTCTTAGGCTTCCTAGAGATCTCTTTTGCCCTTTTGTTGTTGTTTAGTCATTAAGTCATGTGCAACTCTTAGTGACCCCATGGACCAGAGTATGCCAGGCCCTCCCACTGTCTTCCACTTTTGCCCTTGGAAACCTTAAATATCAGAAAATCACCATTGGATTGCTAGTGGTGGTCCATATTTGGCAGTGGGGCCACAGGCTGTAATTTTTCCGATATTAAAGGCTGAATTGGTAAATCGCCACCTAACAAGCAGTTAGATTTAGGCCTATATAGTTTCAGGCCTATATAGTATTGATCTAAGTCAGGGGTGGGCAAAATGTGGCCCTCCAGATGTTGCTGAACTGCAACTCCCATCAATCCTAGCCCACACAGCCAATAGTGAGGAGTGTTGGGATTTGCAGTTCAGCAACATGGAGGGCCACATTTTGCCCAGGTCTGTCATGTGGCCATATTTTTCTGTTCAGTCTTGAGAAGAAAACCCCCTTTTTCCATTGGTAACCTTACTTACTTTGTATGATACCTTCCCATTCCTTCCTCTGCAATCGGATTTAAATTCTTTAGCTCTCTGAGCCTCTCTAATCTCCTTTATTTATAGAGTTCCAAACCACGTCTAAACTGCCTTGTAGAAGTATACAAAAGCTGCCAAGAAATTCTGGAGCAGAGGAAGAAATCCTGATTTTAACATAAAATGGTATCAAGGTAAAAATAATTACTATAACGCCAAGATGTTCTGAAAAACATTTATGAAGACAATTCACATCCAAAGATTTTAATGAATCTGGAGTAAACGGGAGATGCATTGTAGTGAACTAGGGTACTGAAAATTGTTGGTACTTTCTTAAGTGAAGACTGAATCTGAATGTGCAGCCGTGAAGTATTAGAAAAATACATTAGTAAACTTGGGTCCTGTGTCTTCTTTTGTCAACATGATGATGTAAGAAACTCAGTGATTTTTTTGGTCAGAATTTAATTCTACCTAAATTACTTGTAGTCCACAAGGAATATTCACCACGAATGGAATGTAAACAGGAACTATTAACTATTAAGATTTGTCAGCACCATTACATTTTGTTTTTGAGATGGAATTGCTTGGATTATGAGACTGATTATGCCTATGTGGTACATTGGCTTGTATGCTCATATTTGCCATTATCATTAATATTATTTGATGTGCATACCAGTAAATAAAAGTGTTCTCTAATTTGTTTTGGAAGGAATTTGGAGTTTCTAGTGTTGTGATGCCTGTATGAAATCATTGTGTTTACCTGGTTCAAAAGTATAGGTATTTTATTTTCTATAACACATTATGTTTTGATTACATGCTAGAAAACTTTACATCTCATTAAAGTCTCAGTGGGTGAAAACCCAGTGATGTATTTCTGTTGGATCTGTTACTTCCACCAGAATGGAGATCCTTTCTTCTCTCCTCCTATTTCTGCTGGATCTGTCACCAGAATGGAGATCCTTTCTTCTCTCCTGCTACATTGGCACAGTAAAACTTTCTCCAGAAGATGGACAAATCCTTTGCCTCCCCCCCCTTTTTTTGGCATGGAGGTGCTACAGACATTTTGAACAAGACTTCTCCTGCCAAATGTCTACACAGTTGTAAGTGAAGTAGTTGTTTTCTGAAAAGTTATACAACACATTTTTACAGAAATAATACAGAGAAATAAAGTTTTCTACGCCATATGATTCTCTTTTATTAGTCTAACTATCATTTCCATACAGTATGCCAAGGCCTTTTATGTACAGAAAGTAGTTGTAAAATCAATGGCTTATTTAATCAGTTATCTCACTTTACATCTAATGTCTAGTTAGGCCCAGGAAGATAGTCAATAAAATGAGTTTAGCCTTTGCTACAGTGGAGTCATACAAATCTGTCCAGATATACATTTTTCAGAATTCAGATAAACTGTAAAGAAATAAGGGAAGAACAACCTTCAGAACACAGCCAAAGAGCCCGAAAAACCCACAACAACCAATGTAAAGAAATACATAGTAGCATGTAACTCATAGGAGGGTTCGGTTTTCTAGAAGTGACTCTTATGTTACTATATTGAGGCCTTAGTTCTCCATCTTTACAGTGGAAATGGTGAATTGGCTCTAATGAAGATGCAGTAGCAAATACAACTTAATTTGTAAAGTAATTTCTGGAGCTGCTTGCCTTTTACGGTAAAATAGGAACAGCATCACATACATGAGATATTGGAAACAATCTGAAGGCTTGAGTGCTAGCAAAGAAACACTTCTTATCTGACTATGCAGTTTTAAAAGCCCCTAGGTTGTAACCTGTGTGGAAACAGATGGCCGTACATTCCAGGCGTAACCACGTTGTTCAGAAATGTGGAGGCCATAAGTTAAAACTTTGTCCACAAGTTTTAAAAAATTCCTCTAAAACAGCTGTTGAATCAGACAGCCTGCAGCTGTTAAACAATCTGATGTGAATGGTCCTGACCAACATGTGATTAATCACTGAGTGCAAAACAAACTTCTGGGGATTATCTGTTCCTTGTCTCCATTTCATCACCTATTGCCTTAAAAAAAGGACCCTAAAAGAATGCTGTCACAAGACAGGCATGAGATGCATGAGTCTTTTAAAATTGGTGATTTGTCACCAACTGGAAGCTGAAGCTTATCTGAGCCAGAAGCCATCGACAGAAAGGCCCTGCCTGTACCTAAGGGCCCAAAAGAATGTCATGTGGATGGATCTGATTTTAGGTACCTGCTTAGCCTCAGATATACATCCTGCTGGCATATCCATCCAGATATAGAGATGCATACATGTGTGGCTCTGACTTGATCTAGAGCAGAAACACTTCTCTTCAAGGTTTCTGCCCATTCAATGCTTACAGTAACTATCATGTTTATTCATGGATACTGATCAAATTAAACAAAAAAACAAAAACAAAACACCTTACATTCTGTTGTAATAGACAGAAAAAGAATCTCACAGTAATAATTATCACTGATTGCAATAACTTACATCTGTCAGTTTTGTGACCAACAATCATGTGAATGAATACACCTTTAGTTAGGAATGCAAAAGGACAGGATTTAGAAACTTGTCTGTTAGCCGCTTCCACTTGTTGGAAGGAGGTAGGATTTCAGAAAGTAACGAAGGCTTAAAAAAATATTCTAAATCTTCCAATTTCAAGGTCATGCCAATACCAGTGCCAGTAGTGAGCATATATTAAAAAATTGTCTAGTGGTTATAACATTACAAAACATGTATCTGAGACGACATATAATAAAATTGAACTCCACTGCAAGGACCTAGGGCAGTGGTGGTGAACCTTTTTGGGCTTGTGTGCCCAAACAGGGAAAAAAAACCAACCAAAAAAAAAAAAACTAGCAGGTGGTGTGCCATAGCAGCAGTGGAACTGGAAGTGGCAGAGGCAGAACTGGAAATGGTGGCGGAAGGAGGGCCAACCCAAAAAAAAAACTAGCAGGTGGTGTGCCACAGCAGCAGCGGAAGTGGCAGCGGCAGAACTGGAAATGGTGGCGGAAGGAGGAATCCCGGACATGGAGGTGCCTTGAGACCCCACTCCAGATCCGCCGCCAGCACCAGCTGTTATGGACCTCCCTGCCAAAGTGCAAGCATTGCAGCTGCAGCCACCTTCTCAGGTTTGGTTGCGCGGGGGGGGGGAGTAGCGATCCAGCGATTTATGGCTCACATGCCAGAAGAAAGGGCTCCACATCTCAGCTGTGGCACGCATGCCATAGAATCACCATTGCTGGCCTAGGGGCTTCCTTATGTATAGTAGGTATGGTATCTGTCCTCTTAGAAGATATATTCTCTTGTAATCCTTCAAGTTTGCCAAATCCTCACAAGTCACATACCCAAATTTTAATAAAGTTCAAAGTGAACATACTAAATGTTTCCCGTTTGTTCTATACCAACCTCTGTGCCCATCTCAGTGATGGACTGCAAACGTTTTATTGCAAGCAGTTTCTTCTTTTTTCTGTACTTAATCTAAAGTCTAGTGAGAAGGAACCTAATGAATAATCAGCCATTCTCAAGCCAAGATGGGCAGTTTTTTGTCCTAAAGGTTACATGCATGCCATGTAGTGGGACAGTGGCTGCATGTACAAATGCATGCATACATACACATGTGCAGGAGAGTGGGAGAGAAATGGGATACATTTGCGACAGCTGGGTAGGTGGGGCTCTGGGGCTCGTCAGCCATGGAAGGCAGCCCATCTAGGAGAAGGAAAACTCTGATTTCAAACCTCCACTGCCTTGTGGCTATATCCACTGATGAAAAAGGCTTCAGGAGTTAACCTAGAGGCAAAATCTGGAGCTGGAGTCCCGAAGGCAGTTCGTGTCGTTCTGCCAACTCCTGTGACGTTGCTCAATCCAGTTGTATTGGCTCTTGCCTTTCCATTGGACCATTTCAGCAGCGTGGAGAGGGGGGATTTGCTGCTTGGGTAACAGCCTATCCTCCATATTACTTTACCCAGGCTTCATGCTCTGGAGAGGACACTCCTTGATTCAGAGCATGTTACCATAGTCTCTCGAGACTGAAGGATGCCTATGCTACACATGTATATGCATATAAGGAGATAATGCAGGTGGAGATAAGGCTGGTGTAGGATGTGGTCGCTAATGCCTCCTTCACCATCCAGCAACTCAAACCAGGATTGCTGTTTCCTCACCAGCATTAACGGCATAGAAGCAGCGATCATGGCTGGTTTGGGTCTCTGAGCAAGGGAGTAGCTGATCTGCTTGGATTCATTGTCTTGGTGCTCTTGATAACAGCATTATGGCAGTAGTCTTTCCCCCACTACAGGATGGGATTTGTCTGGTATGTGGGAGAAACTGAGTGGGGCTCCCTAGGTTCCTGTAAATTGTATTGATCATGATCAAGGGCTAAATATGGTCTGCAAGTTGCTCATTCCTGCCTTACGTATACTCCTCATATACCTGCATTTGAGAGCTGCTATTCCTAGTCTCTATCTCTGCATTTCTTCACCTTAATGAACAGAATGTATAACTGCTTTCATGAACATCCTTTAGATAATTCTTAAAACTACTACCATGTCCTTCATGTATTTGATCCTTAGTACATGGTCACTAAGAAGTAAGTCCCCAAATTTAATATGACTTAAAGCTTTTGGTTATGGTTTTCATTGTATTGCAGCCTTAGGTTTCATTTCTTCAGGATAAACCCACTGGATTCCTTCATGTTTTCTTTACAAGATTTGTCTGTAAGAGCTGTGGTTGTCAATGTGTCTCTCATTTCCATCATGGTCTGAATTCTTTGTGTTCAGAAAGAACACAGCATTCTACCGAAATTCTTTCTAGTGCTAAACAGATTTATATTTCCATTTGACAAGGATTTTATTAACAGTAAATTAAAGTAATTATGGGAGAGATGAGACCATAGATGAAAAAAGTCATCCCCATATCAGTTTCATTCCTGTAGTACAGTATTATTACAGCGTGACATCATCACATGGAGCATCTTTTGTCATTGGTAGCTGTTGGGTTGTGCACTTGGAAATGTTGCTGGCTTATTAACACAACAACACCATATGAGGACTCAGATTCCCACTGGTATTTTGGGTGTAGAAATGCAGCCATTTTATATTTCATTAAGGGGTTTCCCTGCATGCATGTGGTTCAGCTACTAGTTCACATTCTTGATATTTTTTCTACTGCAGATATCAGTGTGAACCTTTTTTCAATTTCTAGCTCATCCATTAAAGGAGAGATGGTCAACCTCTGTGTTCTTCAGACCATTCCAGATTTTGGCAAGGAGCTAGAGGTTTTGCCACAACACAATATCTTACATTCAATGAAAACTCTAAAACCATCCAGCAGTATGACACAGGCCAGCACTGTGGTCATCTGAATGTTGGACTGCAGCTCTCTTTAACAAGGAGCCTAGCCAATTATAAAAGAGGATGAGAGTACCACTAGTATAGCTTCATATTTATACAGCATTTGTAATTGGTCTGACTGAGGCATTAAAAAAGAAGTGCAAACTTCAGGAGTGGCGTATTTCCTTGTCTCACAAAGAGGTATGCAAAAACCTATGGACAAAATCCTTATTGTGTCTTAAAATAACATTTGAGGATAAGATAGCATTTGTCTGCAATCTAGGCACTGCTGTGATAATCTTCTCTTCAGTCTTTTCAACCAGTTCCTACATCTTCAAAACATACAAAGTTTGCCTGTCATTGACATTATGGACAAAGCCACAGGGCAAGCTATTTCTTCTTCTAGGTTTTGTCTTCAAAAACAACAGCATTTCTAGCTAGTCTATGCCCTCAGTTTCCTTTCTCAGAGTATTAGCTATTATGCTAACATCAGACAAAACAGTTCTTCAGGCTAGGGAAGGAAGCTTCAGGCTAGGGAAGGAATGCTACCTACTCTATTTGTTCTGCCAAGACTCTCTTTAAAAGCAACCATGTGTCATTGGTATTTGTCTAGTAAATTGTGTAATGTCACTAATTCAGTGTGTATGACTGAATTATCATTGTGACTGTCAGTAATCATTGTGATTAGTATATTGTTGTACCATATTCTCACAATAAATTAGTGCTATGAGGAATAAACACTGAATACATGTACTAAACGTATGTCAGGGGATAAAAGAAATATGTTTACTAAAACTGGAATCTTAAATAAATAGGAGCATATGAGAAAGGCAATCTCAAATGGATGCCCAAAGTCCAATTTTCTATCTTGGGAAGTTTATAGGTTAAGTACAGATGAGCATATATTCGGGAAAAAGCAAATAGCTGAGAATCTGTGATGGGGAATGTAAACTTAGCAAGGAGATGAACAATTTCAAGTTATTTTAGTATGAAGATTCTTTCAGTAGGGACTAAGAAGAGGGGGCACATCACTAAAAAAATGGCAGGATGAGGTAGTTTCTTGGTTTGACTACAAGCCACCAGTAGCAAGATGTAGTAGCTAGCGGATAAGGCAAAAAGAACAGAGAACTACTTTAAACTTCAAATAGATCATAAAACAACAACCATGTAATTGCTGGGGGACAGGGTGAATCAGTGCAGCTATTTTAAAAGGTGGAACATTGAGAATGATTGCAATAGCTGGATGCAAATCTTAACTTGCATGGGTCAGGGGAATGTGAAAGCCAGCCATCCTGTTCAAAATAGATAACAGCCCCTTCTTCAAGGCTTGATAAAAGAAGGCTATCTACTTTAATCAAGCATCTAAGAAATGTTGTGCCTCACCAAGGAGGCAGAGATGGTTCCAGGCTTGATGAGCAGGTCACAGAGTAATCGAAATCACTGTGTGGCAAAAGGAACTCTTTAAGAGCTTTTGGAACAGTCTTACAACAGTGTAGGTCCCTTAGTGGTCCGGGGCAGGGAAGCAAAGTAAGGCCTGTTTTCAAGTTCCATGAGCTTCTTAGTAGATGATTTATTCCATGTTGAACTGCAGATTTGAGCAGATGGCATAGGAGAGAAATGTCGTGTTGAAGAAGCATAGTTAATATAGCTGGCAATAAGGAGAGTTGCTTCCACAATCTGCTGAGAGAATGAAAGGAATAAAAGTATTCCAATAATTAATTTAAGTCGACCTTTCAGTACAATAACTGCACTCCTTAAGACTTCATTGGACATCTGACACAATTCTGTCAGTTGACTGGTAGCCTCTTCACTGAGACTTTGGCATCAATTTTCCTAAGCTCTGGTATCTGAGAGCTTCTCACTAGAGATGATGCCATGGACTGAACTCAAAAAGACTTTAAGCTTCCCCTCCCACTTCCCTTCACGTGCTTTGTTTGGCCTACCATACACATGCATGGTGTATTTTGAACATTTTGAGAGTAAATGTCATATCCCTCAGAGGAATTAGCAAAACAAGGTTTTGTTATAGTGGTAGGGATATATGGTGCAGTCTTGTTTTTCTGTAAGAGAAATAAGCAAGAGAGCAGTAATAAGGGCATAGAGGGGTGGCGGTCAAGTCTCAGGTCATGATCTTAAGATTTCAAGTCCTAAAATACAAGATAAAGCTATTACATTTTTGCTTTGCTTTAATGCACATGTGTCACACTCAAGGCTGAATGCGGTCCGCCGGGCTGTTTCATCTGGCCCTCGCAGTGCTGCCTGCTACTGTGCAGTATACAATCGCAGGCACTTAACTCAGTCACCCATAATGCTCTGCAAGGATGCTGGGAATCTGCCCAGCTGGACTTCTAATCGCAGCATTCCAAGCAGCAAAGAGTCAGAAAGTGCTGCTTGGACAGCATACAAGCACCTTGGGAAATACAGTCCTCAACACATTACAGCTTCTGGTGGCAGCCATCTCTGCCTCCTCTCCCACATCAGCTATGGAAGCAAGTGAGGAGCCAAGTGATAACGAGGGACAAGGGCTGTGGCAAGCATGAGGGAAAGGCGGGAGATCTCCGTACATAATTAACAAAACAAACATGGGTGGGGGGGGTGAGGGAAAGGCAGGAGACCTCCGTACATAATTAACAAAACAAACAAACATGGGTGGGGCTGTGGAGTGGGTGTCAACAGGTGGGTGAGGCTGGCCGGGTCAGCGACACTGTGGGGAGACATGGAGGGCAGCCGATGGACCTGGGAAAGGGGTGAGGCTTCCTGCCTCGCTCTTCTTGACTTGGGTGCGAGGGTTGCCTTTTCAGCCCTTCAACCGCTTTCCCTCATTATCCACTTTTACCAAAGCTGCACTGAAGAGGGGGCGGGTTTTGCGAGTCTCTTTGGGTTTCTGGATATAAAGCATGAACCTTAGAAGAGCTCCCAAAAGGGCCATGGCGAAAAAAAGATTGAGAATGGCTGGTGTAGACAACTAAAACAAACTCCAACTTTAGAAGAGCTCCCAAAAGGGCCATGGCCAAAAAAAAATTGACTGGCTGGTGTAGACAACTAAAACAAACTCCTCCTAGCCAGTAAATACTTTTTGAGAAATTCAAATGTCTTCCAAATTAAATTCAATTTAGAAGAAATTAAAGTATCCTCTAATTTTATTTTTAAAAAAGGATTCCGTGAGTTAAAAAAAAAACATTTTGGCAGGTGTTTAGAAGAGCAAAACTTCAGAGCAGAGCATTATATCATCATGTCACATCAAGAATGGGAAATAGCAGCTGCCTCTCTAGAAATAATATCCATGTTTGCTCAATATACTCACCTTTATACTTTCCATTGCAAAAAGGAGTTTTTCTGGCTTGGTTTTGCCAGAGTACCTCTCCTTTGCTTGACTGACTACAATCATAAAGTCATCATGATAGCCTCCAAAAGTCAGTATAGAAGAATATGGATAAGCCAGCTTTACGTGCTGCAGTGAAGCAAATCAGAAAGAAAGTTGCTAGGTAAGATGGTTGGTCTTTCATTCCTTTGCTTTCATATTTTTAAACAATGAGCACAGATGTTCAAAGCTAATCCTGGGATTTTGCAACAGAGCCGAATACAGAGAATATTAGCATCATACCTAGACCTATATTGAAGGGCTTATTTTCATTTATTTTTATGTATCCCAAGATACACATGCAGTCAAAAATTATAGATTGGAATGGATCAAAGTCAGATATCCTGTTTCATATCCACTTCTATATTATCACATTGCTTTATGCTCCCATTTGTAGAAACCATAAGAAGTGTAAGGCTGTCTCAACAGCCTGATTTTTATATGAAGAAACAGACTGTTCTTCTGTAATGATCTACAAAAAGTGCACATTTTGCAATCATTATGAGGATGCAGAGATAAGCTGACCATGCTTATCTGCATCCTGAAGCAATACCAACATTTTGAATCCAGCAATTGTGCTCCAGTGGTCACCAGGTCATGCTGAGGATTAAAGAGAGAGCCTTTTCGTCAATTTTGTATATCGCCAATAGCATGACTTACACCATCTTCTTATGTTCATGTTTGTATGGAAGGATGGATGTTGGTGCACAGAATAGGAACCATGAAACTCAGTCATTATTTACTAACAGCACTGGGCGAATCGGTATGTTTCAGTTTCTCAGACAAAGTAATAATGTATGCCAAACAAGTGGTAGAATCATAAATGTGCATATATTTAGAGATGAGCACAAACCACCAGTTTGGTCATCAGTCTTTCAGGTGTTCCATATTTCTGAGCCCTGCCTGCTCATATGGGTGCCCACTCAGAGGCAATGTCTGGAGGAAGGAGGGCAGGGAAGCTGAGGTGCTGCCTCTGTGTGGGTGCCCTCCAGAGGAGGCAGGCTTGGAACTGTGGAACAGCTGTTGGGCCAACAACTGAATGGGCATGAGCCAGCAGTTGTTGCTCATCTGTACATATAATCCAAGCTTACATGTTGGAGCAATATGTCAGAGATGGGGGCTTGAGTCACGGAACTTGTTGTCAAGTCAGACTTAAATCACACTGGTGATAATACGTCAGAGATGGGGGCTTGAGTCATGGAACTTGTTGTCAAGTCGGACTTAAGTCACACTGTTAACTCAGATTTAACTCGGGTTTTTTTTTTCAGTGACTCAGACTCAAGTCATGACTTTAACTCAGGGTTTGTTTGTTTTTCAGTGACTCAGACTCAAGTCATGACTTATCTAGATCTTTCCTTTTTTTCTGGGGAAAAAGCTTATTTTTTTCTTTTTTTCTGGGGAAAAGGCTTATTTTTAATAGGGACAGACTTGGGCTTGGGTTTAGGACTTGTTACCAAAGACATGGACTCGGGACTTGCACCCAAAGACTTGCCAACATCTGTATAATAAGCAGTTTGCTGTGGATGAATTAGAAGCTGACTATATTCATAAATCTAAAACAACTTTCTAAATGACTACTACCTGTCCTAAGAAAACAAGGTAATATTTCTAATTTAATAAATACGTCTGATTTAATTTGAATAAAATAGTCCTTTTGTTCAGTACTCAGTATCAGGAATACTGGATATCTAATTTTTGTGAGGTACTATTAGTAAAATGTGTTTCATAGAAGATAATTCAGGTTTTTCCACCAGTCATACCAAAGTATTATATTCCAGTATACTGATTCCGTCTTCATTCACACCTATCCACAGTGGAGCATCATTTGACGGAGGTGGTCGGACAGCCTAGGGAGTAAGATAAGGTACTATTAATTCTATGTTGTTCTGGACAGGTGGTATCAATTGAGACCTCTCTGAGTCAACTGACTGGTGCATATTATTCATTTTGTGATATGATCTGTTAAAATTTGGAATACAGTGTGCATGACTGTTTCTGAGAAAATGCCTCTAGCTTCAATCTAGGACAAGATACTTCAAGGGAATATACATTAATGTTAAATATTTAAAGTAAATGGATTGTATGTAGCAAGCCTGTTTGGGATTAATTATAACTTTAATAGCACTGTGAACACTTAACATCCTCTCTTCCAAAAGTGGTGACAGAACACAGCACTGCTGGCAAGATTTGGAGGTTCTGCAAATACATTACTAACAAGGGGAAGTGGTTTCTTTTTTTGCCCAGAAAGCTTGTTAAAGCACAGTAAAAATTTCATATGTGGTCTTAACCAAATCACATCTTGCGGTGCATCTTTAGAATGTAAGAATAACATTATCTCAGAACTGCAGAGATAACCGAGGTAAGGACTGAAGGATACTCGTCATTCCAACAGTAGCTGATTAAATTATTATTAGTGATGCAAGAATCATTACTATGTGTATAAGTTTGCAAAGTAAATGTTAACACTTCCAAGTTGGTTGATTTTATATCAGCAAAATGTGGTTGTATTTGTTTTTATTCTTTTTAGAAGTTTGTAAGCTATATGGAACACTTTGTTTTATTGGAAAGATGGGGTATAAATGTAATAGTAGGCGAAGATTTCTGTGACATGTCATATTTTTTCTGCAACCTATGTTTGAAGATGTTTATGAGTAATCTGGTGAGAAAGGCAAGATTACTCCTAATCATGTCTAAAGTTGTTTATGGGTTCAAATCTAGGTTGCAGAGAAAATGTGAAACATCATAGAAATCCTCTCCCTTGTATTAATCAATCAATCAATCAATCAATAAAAGAGACAAAAACTCAGAGAAGCCAGATTCAATCATTTATGCGATAGAGGTCTATGAGGTAAAATCTCATTCTCGTTACAGCTTCCAAAATCATTTTGTGATGACGTAGTGATCTTTAGTAATAGGAAGATCAGCTATTCAAAAGCTTGAATTCTATTAAGTGGCACCAAAGCCCCTGTCAGTTCCTGTTACCTTAGCAGCAAATAGTTTGGCTCCAAAGAGAGGCCATTTCCGAGCCACAGCCAAATAAATCCGAATACATTCTTGCAGAGAGCATCCCTGTAACACCATCCACTTTGTAGCTAATCGGTCAGCCAACTGCCTGCAGGAATAGTATATGTTTGTTATAGTCTTGAAAGGAAAGCTAGCAAAAATGATCATAAACTTCCAAGGAGAAGTGGCAGGAAAAAAAGGCAGTAGGAAAAGAAGAAAGACCACCTAACATGCGACAGATTGGATTCAATCAAGGAGGACATGGCCAAAACTTCAGCAGGGTTGTTAATTACAGGATCTTTTGGAGGCCATTCATTCATAGGACCACTGAAAATTAGAAGTGATCACATAACAACAATTGTGTTAGTCTGCTGCAGCAAAAGCAATAGAATCTAGTGTATCAGGCAAAAACAAAAGGGAAAAAAATAAAGAAGACAAAAACGTTATGACGCTTTAAAGACTAACTGCTATATTTTAATGTGAGATGTCATAGACAAGCCCACTTCGTCAGAATCTAGGTCCTCCTTTGAGACCAGCAGATTTTATTTTGCATACATTTTTCTGGACTGTAACCTGCCTCTTGTGATGCATCTGGTGAAATGAGCTGCACTCCATGAACGCGTAACCTAAATAAAATTATTTAGTCTTATAAACATGCCACAGAATTCTTTATTGTATATTTTATATATCATCCTAAAGGGATGAAAGTAGTGTTTTTCAGAACAGTAGTGAATTTGCTGCTATGGAGCAACCTATATAAATGAAAAGTGTAGAACATACTTCCATAAACACGTTATAGCTGGTAAAATATAACAGCAATGATTTGAAAGCCATCAGATAGTTGTTTATGCCTCAGTCATGACCAGATTTTACAAGTTGGGATTTGATTTGCAAATCTGAAAAATGTGTCAAATATTATGCTGGGGTGTGAAGCTTACAAATGTGAAAGTGTCTGTTTTTTGTTATTTATTTCAGGAAGAGCTGTCAGGTTTCAGACGAGTCTTAATAATTAATAATAATAATGTGCTGTCAATTCTGACTTACGGTGACCCTTTTCAGGGTTTTGTAGGTACAGAGTACTTTGAAGTGGTTTACTTCCCTTCTTTTGGGGGCGCCCTGGAACTGTGCAGTTTGCCGAAGGCCACACAAGCTGGCTTTTCTGGGTGGCACAGTGGGGAATTGAACTCTGAACCTCTGCTTTTACAACCAGATATCTAACTTAAGGGGAGTATACATTTTGATACAAAGTGTTATAGACCTAAAATGGGAAAATCTGTCTTCGTTTATAGCGTACAAATGGTTTTTGTTAGTCTTGGCCCATTGTACACTTGATAATCAGTATTGCCTATTGATAGCAATAGGGCTTGTTTTCATTTTTATGATAAGTTGATAAACAGTCGTTATTTTTGTGATAATTATTGATGCGGCATTCTAAAATGAAAAACAGCAGACAAAAAAAATACAGCAAAAGTAAGACATCAGAGAAAAAGGGGAAAAGATTACATAGAATTGCAGTGAAATCCAACGGGATGTATTTTTGTTAGTAAATCATGACTGGGATAGAATAGCTCAAGAAGTCCACAGAGTATTTGGAGGATCTTTATATGTAAAAGATGTGATAAATTATAGTCAGAAAAATGTATCTGTTTAATTGTAATGTTGTAATGTTCATTAGCCAAATCTGTTTTAGCTAAGTAGAGTACTAAGCATAAATGTTATATTGTCAATATTTTCTAAATGACCAGTGATTTATTAATCATTTTATTTTTGGTAGTGAAGTTAATACAGGTACAGAGGATTGCAAAAGGGCATGATCACTTTTACCTTAGCTGCTCAGGAGAAGTATTGTGTTTGTAACGTTTGGGGTAGAATTTGTCCAGAACCTGCTGGAGAAGGTGTTGCACTTTGAAATGGGATGACCCTCCAGGGCTTGATGGTACTGGACGATCCAAGTCCCCATGCTCCATCTAATTACCAGTGTCAAAGGGGAATAAGGAAAATTGCATCAAAATACACTGTAACAAATTCCTATGGTTTTTGTTTGTTTGTTTTGTTTTGTTCTTTATCATAGGACATAGTCCCTTGCATCTGCTACTCAAAATGGTTGCCCACCTCTCTGATATGATCGCCTGCTGGAATAAGGCAATACTGTAGAGGTAGATCAATCTGGATATTTCTCCTACAGCTGGAAGGCAGTGGTGTTTCAACACTTTGAAACCATCGATAACCTCTGATATACCTTGATCCCATAGGCATGGGGTCTGATTACTCACCTGAGCCATCAAAGCTGCCATTTCCAGAGCCAGCTCCTTATTGACAGGGAACCTCCCATTGACTATTTCACCACTAATCTGGAAAGCCAGCAGCAAGCGTTCTCGGTCTGTCTCACCTTTTGCTTGGCTTTGAAAGTATAATCTAAATTGGAGGGAAAAAACACCAAAAGGAGATAATTCCACATGCTAGTTACAGTAGAGCATCTGGAGCTTTGATCAATGTCTGTCTGTCTGTCTGTCTGTCTGTCTGTTAAATTTCATACAGTATAAGCAAAATAACTTGAGGCACAATCTTCTGAGAAATTCTCCTGCATAAGCATACTTGAAGTGAACAGGAGCTGCACAAGAATAATTAATTTTAAGAGGGCTTTTGCAGGGAAACTTCGCAAATGATTGAGTCTTCAGATTATAAGGCTTTGTATACAGAAACCACATCATAAATAAACTGTTATACAAGCCAGATATAATGTCTATTCCTGAATAAACTTTCCTAACATTTTAGTTACCCACTTTTATCCAACTGGTTATAGCTAGGGTTGAACATTCTTGACAAGACTGGTGAGCATCAGTAGGCACAAATGAAGAATATTTATCACATCAGACAAAATCTGGATGCAAACCCACTCCCAGTTACTAATGATACAAAGAAACTGAACTTATGTATCAGGGCTTTGATTATGTTATGCATAACATGGCTATGGAGCAAAACATGTTCCCACAAAATAACTTAGGGCACATCTGCACAGAACCTATTTGGGTCACACATATGCTATGAATCTATTTGCCAGTCTTTCTAATAAACATGTATCGGGTTTTATCCAATTTTAATTCACAAAATCTTTCGTGATAACAGAAGGATTATTGCAGACTTTCCACTGTTGGGAGGGGCACAGCACAGAGAATTTATTTATTTATTTGTTTGTTTGTTTGTTTGTTTGCTGCCTTTTCCCTAAAGGATCCAAGGCAGCTTACAGTATTAAAAGAAAGAGGTTAAAAGCTAAACAATAAATTATGACTATATTTAAAAAGCAGTAACAGATATATTAAAATTCAAAATAAAAGCAATATTAAAAAGATAAGTAAAACACAGAATGAAGTGATTCCTTTTCAAAAAATCCCTGTGGTCATCCATTCATTTAAAGGAAAGCCTCCCTGAAGGGAAAGGTCTTCTTCTTGTGGAAGGATAGCAAAAATTGGGGGCCAGCCTGGCCTCCTGTGGGAGGGAGTTCCTGAGTCTGGGAGCAGAGACAGAGAAGGCCCTCTCCTGTGTCCCCACCAAACATATGTACCTGTGAAGGTGGTGGGACTGAGAGAAAGGCCTCTCCTGATTAACTTCCTACCGGTAAAGATAGGCTCATAAAGGGAGATATGATCTTTTAGATAGCTTGGACCCAAGTTAGGCACCCAGGCTCTGACTAAGAGTTTACCTTCATGGGTTGGCTGTGACAAAGGTCTGTGTGTCTTTCAGAGACAGCTCTCGTGATATGGGTTATAAATCACAACACCTGGCTGAGAGTATTTGTGTTTTCAGTACAGCCTCATATCAACTAACCACATCAGCTAAAAGTCTGTATCTAGTGCAGCATTCTCTCTCTATTTCTTATTAGGGACTAGTGAGGTGCTGTTGGGAACCTCATTTACAAGAATGATGCAATTATTATGCCATGTTTTCTGTCTCTAGACTCTTGTATACTGCTCTGGTATACATATGTTCCATCTTTAGTGACCATAAAAGGAAAGATTTCCTCGTTACATTTCTACTTTCTACTCAAGAGATCATACCCTAGGAATTTACTAGACTCTTCTTCACTCCTAGAGCATGACTAATCCAAATCTAAGCAATCTTGAGTAACATTGACTGGGCAGATTTAATAAATTCTTTGACTTTCCCATTTATATCTGTAGGCATTCCATCATGCCCCTAATAAATTTATTTTATTTTTTTATTTATTTTATTCTTGACTCTCCCATTCATATCTGTAGGCATTCCATCACGCCCCTAATAAATTCCTCTCTAAACCTCTTTACTTTTTAATTACTTTTAAATGTAATAATTTTAATTGCAAATCTGATAAATAGTCTATCAGCCTCTCTCATTGCCACCTCTGTCTCTAATGCCTGGCTCTTTTTTAAGATAATCCAAGCAGAGATGATACCATAGTCTCTTTACTCTGACCATAACACTAGCACCTTATAGTTCTTCTTGCTTTCCCAATATATTGATATCATAGTTTTCTTGGGATGTAAAGGTGATGTTCCCAATGCATGTGCATTTTTCATATTTCTTTCTTTGCCACTTTCTCTGGGTTACCTTTTACAGTATTAGATGGCCTGGGAGGGACTAGTTATTTTTTCCATAGCATTTAGTATAAGCTTTAACGAGTGATAACAGATATTGCAACACTTTTTGTGTGTATTTTTCTTCAGCATATCTCCTAATCCACATTAATTCTAGCAAAATGAAGAAGAAAAAATAACCTGGGATACAGGAAATGACTTTAAACTTTGAGTGCATTATAATAAATAAAATAGGACGACAGTGTCCACGGGAACAGTCCCTGTGGTTTCACTTATCCTCTGCTTGAAAATATTAAATAATAAACCTCAGAAATATGTGTTTCCAAGCTGTATTACCAGAAATATTCACTAGCTGGAACCAGAGATTTCACTTTATATCGGATTCGCTTATTAACAATTTTGAGCATCTGGGGGAGGGGGTTGAAACCAATCTTTCACTTTATTTCGGATTCGCTTATTAACAGTTTCAAGCATCTGGGGGAGGGGGTTGAAACCAATCCCCCGCCAGTACTGCAGTGCTACTGTATATGCAATATCAATTATTGAGCCAATAATGGGTAGTACCTGTTTTTATAGGTTAGTTTTACTATTCTTGTGCCACCATCATATTTTCGAGGATTCAGTTCTTTCAAAGCTTGCTCCCATTTTGAAATGACATCACAGATCTTTAAAGGAAAAATAAAGCGGAAGCAGAATGAAGTACTTCAGAAACAGCAACCTTCAAGCCATATGCAGTACGAAAACAACATCAGACTGTTCTGTGAGCTCATCTTCAGTCTATGGGAATCAATGAATAATATTTTTTTAAAAAAATGAACAATATGTACTACCCTTCTGAGGAATGTATAGTGACACAATATCCTTATGAAATACAGCCTTGCCCCAAATTGGAGAGTTTAATGGCCGCTATTTGAATCTGAGATTCCTGAGTTAAACAGCTCAAGGCATTACACAGCTTTTCTCCAGGCCCAATTTCATACCTTAGCCATAAGCAAGCTAGTTATGAACTGATTTTAAAAAATACTTCAGACTTCTAGGTGAATAATATTGTTTTTTTAAGAGCTTCTATTTAGCACCTACATCCATTTTTCTTCTAGCCCTGATAATCAATAATAAGGTATAAGTTGCCATTACAGACTGAATAACTGATTGAGTTAATCTGATAAACATGCTTGCCATACCTAAACCCAGCCCTGAGATTAAACACACTTTAGTGCTTGATGTATTACTATTAGTATGCCTTACATTAATATTGAAGCCCACAAATCAGTAGTACAAGGAACTAACATGGAATTTATGGACCTGGAAGTATGATTTTACTACTCAATCAGAAGTAGAATAGCAGACCATCTCTTGGGCCACTTTCATATACTGTAACTAAAAATTGCTGAGAAATGTCCATGGGTTTCCACCTATTTTTAAGGGGCACAATTACTATCTGAATGGGCATTTAATCCCAAAATCTCTAAGAAACTTTGCAAAGAATTTGGAAGCAAACAAAGCTTTTGCTATAAGGCACAGTGGAGAATATTTAGAAACCACCAAATACTCTTATTTACTTGAAAGAAATCAAGCAGAAAAATATTTGTGACTAAATATGCACTAACAATGGGTGAAAACATCAAACATGTTTCAACTACATGTACTAAATATAACTGAAATTTTTTTTGATATTTTCCCTTCTCCACCAAACAACACCCATCCTTATTCCCATCTCCATTGTTTCCATGACATCTCCCCACATCATTCTTGGTCAATATTAAAACAAATACATAATAATAAACTCATTCAGTTCATAATAAATGGGTATTCTCCATCTATAATTGTAACAAATGGCTAGAAGGAATAAATGTGTGTTATGAAAATCTGGATGGCATGCATGTCAAGGGACAAAATGAGTACCCAAAGGATAATCACCTTCATGGAACCTTGTAGGCAGTGCTCTAGATCTCCACCACAAGGATCATCTGTAAAGAGGGAAAACCCAGAGAGCGATGACCTCCTCATTCCTGTCTCCTGGTTAAGGTGTTGCAGGAACTCATTCACAGTTGAGGAACCATCAAAGCCAACCACCTAAAATTGAGCAGAAAAGGTGTTTATGAAGGAAAGGAAGGCAAAGTTACTAGATGCTAAAGTAAACAAAGTATTTGTGCACAGCCTTTCCCAATCTCTCACGCTTCACGCCTCACCTGGTAGGTTCCATTCATGAAGTGTACTGGAATGCTGAAGGGGAGTGAGTGATGATAGGGATTTCTCAGCAAAATAGACACTATCTCCATTCGCGAAGGTCTGGCTTCTCGTTCTCCAGCTTTCAAAGTGCGCTCCATGGATCTCTGGCAGTAGATGGCATACTTGCCAATTTCACTTCTAATCAAAGACAGAGAATTATAGTCATATCTTTGTTATGCCTCGTAGTATTTTTTATAAACCATTCTGAGATTCAGTACTAAATTGTTCTTTAATAACTAAAATAAGTGCTCTAGGTGTCTCATAAGCATGACATAAACAATATGTAAAAATGAAAACCATTAATGTGAAAAGACAATTGAAATACAGATATTAACTGAAATTATTTAACAAAAACATGTATTTTATAACAGCAGGCCCCAACCTTTTTGGAACCGTGGATCGGTTGGGAGGGTGGGCAATGTGCACGGAGGGGCGATACGCCCTCCTGCGCATGTGTGCTCATGTGACATCCCCATCCGTGAGTGCGACACCCCCCAAGCGCGATACACCCACTGTGCGTGTGTGCGGGGGTGGCGGAGATCCGTCTCTGTAGCCTGGTCCTGAGAAGCCCACAGACTGGCACCAGGCCTTGGACTGGGGGTTGGGGAGCACTGCTTTATAACACATATAAGGTGACCCACAACTCCCACCATAAAACACTTTGCAGCCCCCCTAGAGGTCCCAAACATAGGTTAGGAAACATTGGTTTTCAGTGTAGCTGAGAAAGTACAGATTTATATAGTCAGGACACCCATTCCTATGTAATGATCTTAGTACCTTATTCCTGATCAACTGCTATTTCCTAACAATTTTTAATGGTTGCTCCTTAATGCATTGAATTCGTGCATGAGATCTGTCATAAATGTAAAATGCACTGCAGTCATCAACACAGTTTATCAGCGCATAGGCATTTGTGGCCAATCTATCCCTGTCCATGTTATTGCAGCACGTTAGCTGAAGTAGACAAAAAGCATTCGGGAACCACAGATGGCAACGCTGAATAAATAAAGTACCCATAGGCTGAAACTGGTCCTAAAGGCATGCTTAATTAAAATGTGGGATCATTTATTTTAGTTCCTTCTTTTATGGCTATAACCAGATAAAGAATTCTATGCCTGTGGGTTAAACCTGTGCCCCCTCCCTTATCCCCAATATTTTATATAGAGTTTTGGATTACTCTTAATTCTTACACAGTATTTTGTGATGTTTTAAGTTGGCCCAATAGAGAAATTATAACGTTCTTCAATAAGGGTGACTTCAGAAACAGCTGTGTGTTTTATGGCATCTTAAAGACCAACAAAGTGATCATGGCATAAGCCTTCGTAGTGTAGCTTGCATGTTTTTTTCTTTTATGTAGTGGAGGCTCCCCCTTTAGACTGCCAGTTTCCACATGAAGACAGCAGTAGGAGTGAGCACCCTCCCCCTGTTGCATGTTTATTATGAACACCTGAAAAAACTGAGAAGTATGGCTGCAAGTATGAAGTAGAAAAGCCCACTGCTCACGGTACCATTTAAGATCCTTGAGCGAGAGGCCCTTTTCTCAGCTTCTTCATCATCTGAGAAACATTTTGTTTGTTCCTAGGTTAGGCTGGCTCCATTTTTACTGACCTTCTCTCTGAAGGCAAAGATGTTACAATGCAACACCTTTGCCATGTCAGGTTGATAGTTGTTGAAGAGGGTTTAACTGTCTTTTTTTAAAAAAGAAAAGTTGAAGTATTTAAAATTTTCAAAAATATTTTATATTGTAATTGTATTCCAGCTTTTACTTGTCTTTTATTATTCTTATGTACCTTGATTACCATTTTTGTTTGCAGAAAGGAGGAATGTAAATTAAAATTTAAAAAATATCGGATATCATTATTTGGGAAAGGGAAAGAGAGTTTGGTTCCATGTTTGTTTTCCTCTGCCATAATTAGTGCATCAGATCTTTCCCACCAAATCAAGTTCCAAAGATAATATCATGCACATTTCACCTGTTACAAAATTCCTTGATGAAAGTAACTTTCTGGTAAGAATTGTCTCATACACACATCTTTCAATTATGACAAAACAGGCACAGTTTGGAAGAATAGCTCACACTTACTATTCTTCATTGGTGACAGTTACAGGCATCAGATCTCACACATTCTGCGGATAGTGCTTGTCACAATACTGCTTAATTTTATACATTTCAGTTGGTCTTACATGTTTTAAATACAGTGGTGCCTCACTTAACGAGCGCCCCGGTTAACGACGAAATCGCATAGCGATTTGGTTTTTGCGATCGCAAAAGCGATTGCATTGTGATGTTTTAAATGGGAAAAAATCACTTTGCGATGATCGGTAAGCTGTTTTGCCTACCAATTTTCACATAGCGATGTTTTCCCAACAGCTGATCGGCGGTTCCAAAATGGCCGCCGGCTAAAAAACATGGCCGCCCGCTGTGTTTTGGGATGGATTCCCCGCATGCCAGGCAGCGCAAATGGCTGCCATATGGAGGATTTTCGCTTAAAGGTAAGTTTTTTGCCCATAGGAACGCATTGAAGGGGTTTCAATGCATTCCTATGGGCTTTTAAAAATTGCTTAGCAATGTTTTCGGTTAGCGGCGATTTTTGCTGCACCGATTAACATTGCTAAGCAAGGCAGCACTGTATGTTGTCTTTATACTCCCTTTTGGATGGTTTTATGAGAATTTGCAGAAACATTTCAATAAATACAAATTATTAAATATTACTTGTAACAACCACTTTTAATTTAATGAGTCCCATACACGATGTGTCATGCAAGGCAACGAGGCAGACTCTACTTAAAAACAATTCCCACATCAGGGCTGTTTTGTGTATAATCATAATACCAGTCATTGTCTGCCATCAAGTTGATACTGACTGATGACAACCCTTTCCAGAAGTGGTTTACCATTCAGTTCTTCGGGTGTGTGTGTGCGCGTGCCTTGGGACTGTATAGTTTGTTCATGCCTACACGGGCTGGCTTTTCTCCCAGGAAACAGAGTGGGAATGGTTCAAATCTCTAACTTTGCAGTCAGATACAGAAACCACCGAGCTATCAAGACAGTATAGTTGTACTTAAAAACAATCCTCACATTTGATCCAGCCCACAGAGAAAAGACTCAGAAAAAAAAACTCAGTAAGGAGAAACATAAGACAAATTATTCACTTTGGGTCCACATGGTGCTGGAGATGACACTTTAGATACCAGAGGAAATGATACTGAGGCAGGAATAGAGGAGTACAAAGAGCCAGTAGCTGCCAGCACTGTGGAGAAAAAAAATAGTTTACAGTGATTAGGACTGCTGCTTCTGTTTATTTCTTAGTGTCAATGAATCTCAAAACAACAAAGAGGGAGAGAGAGAAAAGGAAACACAGGAAACACAGACAAAAATGTCCAAGTTACAGTCTGCTTCATATACCGGAAATACTACAGGTATAAAGTACAAAGAAGGAGGCATGAAAGGTCTGTATTCCAGTGTAGAAGAAAATTCTGTCTCTCTGCACAAGGGGAGTTGCCACCAACTGAGGTTACTTGCCCAAGTGTCCATATCTTTAAAAACACAATTCATCTCTAATACAGTATTTTACTTACATATATTGGCTGAATTCCAGTAGTAAGTTGCAACTACAGTGGATCCATTAAGTCCATTGAACTTATGAAGCAGCTGACTCACCAAATCCTCACCGAGTCAGTGGGTTTGCTCTAGTTTCACCTTAATACTGGATTTAAGTCACCCTGCTTCTATTAGCTCTGCTGCAAAAAGGTTTCCTCTAAAAGCTTCAACATTGGGGATGAGGGGCAACAGGCTCAGGTCTTTCTCTCTTTTGTTCCCAGCAAGGCTATATGTATTGCTTGGTTTAATTTTTTTCTCCTTTTTTGTGGAATATACATATGTTTACTTGTTGAATTTTTCATGGCTTGTACACTTTGCCTGTGTTATCTGTATATATATGCCATGTGTACAGTTTCTACAGATGTTTGCATGGATGGGGTTCTCTGAACACCAGCAGTCTGATCTCATATGATATTTTTCTCAGTGGGAGCAAATAGATGATTTGCCTTAAGACCCCACCTTTGCCTTATATACTTCTTTCTACTCTTGGTGAGGTTATTTTAGTTTGCCTTCTGTGAAATGGGTACAGGGTTAGTAAACTATAGTTTCAAGAAAAGGATTTTGTATTTCAAAATGTAAGACTACAGCTCAGTCTTCTATTCAGGTTGAAGTTACTATTTTCATCTTCATCAGTTTGTCTTTTGAATAATGAGTGTTTAATGAATTCTCACATCCACCATGGAATTTTGTGAGAGCACATATGACACAATCTCAAAATCTGAAATTTGCCACTGGTGAAAAAACATGCAAGGACCTCATCTTTCAATATCAGTGCCTTAATCAAATTTAGGTCTCCCTCCCATTATGACTTTTGAAGGTATGTTTCAAGATCTGAGCACAATTTTTTCTGTGTAACATAAAGTCTGGTTCTTATTGTTAAGCTCTTGAGTGTCACTGTTATGTTTCCTGTAGCCAGTAAGCCGAATGAATATAACTTGCTCCCACTGTTTCATCTTGTATCTGCAGTGTCTTCCTTTACTGTAGTCATTCACCAAATTTTCTAGTAATTAGTTTTTGTTACCATGTTTCACTTTTGAAGCAAATCAAATGACTTTGCTTTATGATCACTACTGAAACACACACACAGAGAGAGAACAGGTTTACACAACACAAAAAGTGGTTAACTCTCAAGCATAGCAATTAGGCCCTACAATCAATACTGACAACAACACAGAATAGAAAGAGGCATATCCACCTGAATGACTGAGTGATTCTGAGCCTCTCGACTTGTCTGCTTGGTTAACTGACAGTAGATTTCATTCTGTAGCTCACTGTGGGTCAAGCAGACCTGCAATGCTGTCTGTGCTAGTGTAACATGATAGTCAATAGATGAAGCTTCCACAGGTACATTGATGAACAGCTGGCATGACTGAAACACAAATTGAAAAGCACATTGATAAAGAGAAAAGTAATCATGTTTTTCAGTTTCCCTCCCAGTCACAGATATATAAAAAGCCATCATTTTTAGAACTGCTGCATCCTCAAGAGGCAAGGGCAAAAGAAACCAACAAGCCAGGTTACTTCACTCCCTCTTCACACAACTTTCCTGATGATTCAATCAGTTACTGTCCCAGTTCTCCTTCTTTGCCTCCTTACATTGCATGGAACAGGGCCACTAAGGCCACTTTCTCCATAGCCAGATTCCTAATCCTTGGAATGAGCTGAGCAAATCCCCTGCGTGCACAGCAGCACCTCATCTGAACAGCTTCTGCCTGTTGGCATCAGTGTTATTGACAGCAGCAACCCGAGACAAGAGTATCCTGCTGCCCTTGTTGCTTCTGCTTGCTGCAAAGTCCTCTTGGAGCTTGCCCGTTGGTCCTGGCTCATCTAACTGTCCTTAGTAAGAAAGTGACAGATCTGTTCAGCCCAGGCCTTGCCACAGGAAACTCCCTGCTCCAAAAGACTCCCGATGGTCCAAACTTAGTGTCAAGAGAAGCACACCCACCATGCAACATTTCAACCAAGCCAGCTTAACATTCTCTAAGCCAGTCCTTCAGCCCGCCAACACACCACCATCCCCTCGACAGCAGCTCCTTCCACTCGTTCCCCAGGCAAATAGTGCACAGTTCTAAATGAAATTAAAGAACCAAAAAAAAGGCAGTTCCTTTCATGTCAGATAAAATGATGCTGCACAAAATAACCCTCAGAAGGCAAGGGGCAGACCCCACAACCCAAAATGAAATGAAAACAAAGTTTTTCATGGTGTAAATGCTCAGAAATACCTTGAAAAGTTTGAGGGCCTCTGTCTGCAGTGCTTCTGAAGGCAGTGTGGTCAGGGAAGACTGTAGCCCATCCTTGCTGTAGCACAGCTGAGGGTGTTTCCACAAAGGAGAATCTAAATTAAGGGACCAAAAACAGTTTTGAAAAATTTCAGAAATCTAGTTAGAGTTTGTACAATCTTTTTTTGGGGGAAATATTAAAACTCTTGCCAAAAAGAGATGTTGGCATGGTCATACTAGCTTACCGGGATTTTTTTTTTATATAGCTACTCAGGTCCTTTAGATCAGTAGTTCTTAACCTTGGGTTACTCAGGTGTTTTTGAACTGCAACTCCCAGAAACCCCAGCCAGCACAGCTAGTGGTGAAGGCTTCTGGGAGCTGCAGTCCAAAAACACCTGAGTAACCCAAGGTTAAGAACCACTGCTTTAGAAAATACATGAGGGACAGTACACCTGAGACTGTTCCATTTAAGAATGCAGTTGTATGGCAAGTTTCAGTTTGTGCAACACTAAAACTTTTACACCACTCGAAAGCTACTATATCAGGATGAACCAACCATATGGACACACCCACCTCTATTTTGAAGAGATGCAGGGTGCTTTCACACAAGAAGTTTGGCAGTACATACAGCATTATGGTTTTAAAGCACTATGCCCCTCTTTCCTTCACCAACTACAGGAGTGTTTCAGTGCTAACTAAAAGATCGGTGGGGGGGTAGTGGAGTTACAAAATGATATTCAATGCAAAACTGATAATGATGGCTACTCAGGTGAATTTGACCTTATCCACTGACTATACCACTATGGGTAGAATACAACAGGATATACAGATAGAAAAAGTACAATATTCTCAATAGAGTTGAAAAGTCACCTGGAACTCCACTTCTAGCTTAGAACATCTACATTTCTGGAAACTGCAAGAGTTTGTAGCCTGCACTTGTTCTAAGTTTGTAGATTAATTCTAACTCCAATGATTGTCAACATAGTACAACAACAAGAAGCCCACCTACAGAATGTTACAATTAAAAGGTTGTCTTTTGACTTCTCATTCCAAGCAGCAAAGACCTCTTGCTTTCCACTAACTTAAATATAGATGGGTGCTTATGCCCCCACAATCATGAATTGAGTACCTGGCTGTGGAGCCAGTGGTTGGGAGTTTGATTCCCCACTATACCTAGAAAACGTTTGATAGTAACAACACAAGTCAGAACTGACTCAATGGCACATAATTATCATTTTATTCCATGTTAAAGGCTGAGGAGGAAAACTATGGGACCACAGTTGATATGTGGGACTTTCCATGATTGCCTATGCCTACTTAGCACCACTGTGAAACCATAAGAAAAAAATTTGTTTGCCGAGGCATTTTCTGCAACTCCAAACAGCGACAGAAAGGGACTGGAAGTGAAGGGAATTCATTCACATTAACATCTGTTAATGTTCCAGGGAGCACCCCTGGAATATAAGCCCTCTAAAATTATTTGTTGATGGTGGTGTGGATTTTTCCATTTTTACAAATCGGCCACCTTGCTCTTATCCAAAGATTACTTGTCAAAATTTCGTTGCCTTGGCGCAGCATTGTCCTAAAAACATTTACTACAATATCCATGAAATTATGAAAGTCTAGTTGCAAGTTATTATCTAAATTATTTCCGGCACATTATACCAGCATGTAGATTTCAGGAAGATACATGTTCTTGAGGGGAATACTCTTGCACTATGAGGTTGATATGCTGGTTAAATTGAGACCTATTGCTCTTAAAATCTGTTTACTTTCTACTTACTTGGATCTCCTTCTGCATCCAGCAGCTTCCCAATCAGCTGCTCATAGGTAGTGCCCACTTTTGTGCTGCTGCTGCTGCCTGCTGCTACTGTCAAGTGGTACAGCCAAGTATTCTTGGAAGAAAAGAATGATAAAGATTGAGTGATGCTAGAAGTCTGAAATAATCAACTCTAGATCATTAAACATGAACCTAATTCCAAGACTAATTCCAGCTGCCTTGTTGTTTGTTTCTTTACTTTAAACTATGATAAGGGCATAGTTTAAAGTAAAGGAAAGTCCTGAAAAGAACAAAAACTCTGATCCCCCAGCTACAAATACTCAACAATCCCACACACTATACACAGATAGAATTCTAGCTCCTGTCCTCTGAAGATGCCGGCCACAGAGACTGGTGAAACGTTAGGACGAAAAACCTCAAGAATGTGGTCAAAAAGCCTGAAAAACCCACAACAACCATATGATAAGAGCACATTCAACAAAAGTAGTATTTTGTGCCATAAATATACATTTGTTCATCATTGTATACAGTCTGCACTTCTTCCCTCAGAGTTGTGGGAAATTGTATTTTCCAAATAATGACACTGCAGTATCTTGTTCTTGGTAAAATATAGTAATATTTTCCCCATGAAGCTGTGGAGGCTCTCCACACAATTTGGAACCCTGAATTCCCACTGTGTGCTCCAGGTTTGTTACCTACCACATGTAGAGGGTGAGCGAGTGCAACCTGATTTCCTATTCTGCATCTTATCTGTAAAATGAGAGCTACTAATATGAGGTTGTGCATGATTTTGTATACCTTGGCTGAAAGTTCTCTGAGACTCTCTAAATGTCAAGCTGGATAAATGCATTGGCAAAGCAGCTACCATGTTCTCTAGAGTCGCAGAGTATGGCTTAATAAGAAGCTGATGGCATATACCAAGATCCAGGTCTATAGAGCCTGTATCCTTAGTACACTCCTGTACTGCAGTGAGTCCTGGACCCTTTGTGCATGACAGGAGAGGAAGCTGAAAATGTTTCATATTCGTGGTGTCTGACGCATTTTAGTATCACCTGGCAGCAAAGTTCCAAATAGAGTAGTTCTAGAATAAGCTGGAATTTTTAGCATGTATACATTACTTAAACGGTGATGTCTACGTTGGCTTGGACATGAGAATAGCTGATGGTTGGATTCCAAAAGGTCTCCTGTATGGAGAATGAGTGCAGGGAAAGCGCCCTCAGAAGGAGACCACAGCTGCGATACAAGGATATCTGCAAGGATCTGAAGGCCTTAGGAATGGACCTCAACAGATGGGAAACCCTGACATCTGAGTGTTCAGCCTCTCCCAATTTGAAGAGGCACTTGTTCAGCAGGCCGAGGCAAAGAGGCAGTCCCGAAAGCAGCAAAATCAGGGAGCTGGACAGGGGACAGACTGTATTTGTCTTCAATGTGGAAAGGATTGTCACTCTCGAATTGTCCTTCTCAGCCACACTAGACACTGTTCCAAGTCCTCCATACAGAGCACGTTACCATAGTCTCTTGAGACTGAAGGATGCCTACACAATATGAGCAACCTATTTGGGACCTTTTATTTACACTTTACAACCCAATTTTTTTTATTGTATCCATCCTTGATACCTTTTCCTGTTTAGTACCAATGAGGAGGTAAGTGGGACTCTGCTCTGGCGGGTGAATAACCAGGGTGCAATGCGAAGAAAGGATGCCTCCACTGTTAGTTTCATAATCTTCATCAGAATCACAGGAGCGATCCACTTCTTCCACCTTGGACTCCTGCATATGCAAATAGCCTAAAGGACACTTCAGAAAAGAAGACAAAGAGGTTTACATGCATGGTGGAATGACATTGTTCTGGGGAGCTGTCAGTTTTGTTCCCAGGATTCCTATTACACTAGGTATACAAGTATGTACTCATTCTGTTCAGTACAAGCACTGAGAATATGACTCCTACAACAAAGGGTTCCTGACCTCTGTCCAGTATAACAATTTTGTAACAGATCTGCATAATATTTGTTACTCTACTTTAATGTCAATACAGTCTGAATGTGTTTGTTTGCAAATAAATAATATAAAAATGCTGTAAAGTCAATTCTGATTCATGGCAACTCTTTCTAGGGTTTTCTAGGTACAGAATATGCAGAAGTGGTCCACCATTCCCTTCTAGAGACATTCCACAACTGTGCAGCCTGCCCAAGGTTATGCTGGCTGACTCTTCTAGAAGGCACAGTGGGGTATCAGACCCCCAATCTCTGGCTCTTCAGCAGGCAACCCACTCAATGAGGTATCCAGCCAGATGAAGAAATAAATGCATAATAATAAAAACGATCTGTTTTAGTTGTTGTAGGTTTTTTGAGCTGCTTGGCCATGTTCTGGAAAATCATCCACATATTGGAACCAGGGTGGCGAAGCCAGGGCATGTTTTTCAAAATGTTCCATGTAGAAGTTCGTTATAACTGGGCTGAGGGGGCTCCCCATGGCCACTCCATCTGTCTGTTCATAGAAATCATTATCTTACTGAATGTAGCTGGTCGTTAGGCAGTGTTGGAAAGGGGCTGTGACGTCTTCTGGAAATAGCTACTGGATGAGAAGAAACAGCCCAAAAAACCTACAACAGTCATCAGATCCCGGCTGTGAAAGCCTTCAAGAATCTGTTATAGGTTGAACCAGGAGAAACTAAACAGGATATGAAGCTTTTCTTAAAATGATAAATGCAAGAGGATAAAAAGAAACAACCTTGTCTTCTTGATTTCGATAATAGTAGAAGGTTTTTCCAACCAGAGCACACCAGACTAGTTTTGAGCGTCCATGTTTTACCTGCAAAAAAGAACATGGGAATGGAAGGATTTCACCTATTTTGCATGGATCTGTTAGTTTTGTGAGAAAGTTATATGAAGAATTCCCTTCTTACAAAAGAAAAACCCTTTATATATCTATTGCATTTTATAGTACAGTCTGAAGACCCACAGGTAAAAGCTACACTGCTTTATACTAAACACTATTTAACTGTAGGTGGGGCTTGTCAACCTTGGAAGGCAGCCCATCTAGGAGAAGGAAAACTCCGATTTCAAACCTCCACTGCCTTGTGGCTATATCCACTCATGGAAAAAGCTTCAGGAGTTAACCTCAAGGCAATAACCGGAGCTGGAGTCCTGGAGGCTGTTTGTGTCATTCTGGCAACTCCTGCAATGTTGCTGGAACCAGTTGTATTGGCTCTTGCCTTTCCATTGGACTATTTCAGCGATGTGGAGGGGGGGATTGGCTGCTTGGGTAACAGCCTACCCTCCATATTATTTTACCCAGGCTTCGTGCTCTGGAGAGGACACTCCAGCTTCGCATACAGCATCAAAACAACCCAGGAAGTAGCAGTTACTGGTTATAAGTCTTTGCTCGATTGGCGTAGAGCATGATGCCAGGGGCTACTTCTGACGGTGAGAGAGGTCATTGCACCTCACTATGTAGCTACCGCCCTCCTTAAGCTGGGCAGTCCCCAGTCAGTAAGGTGCTAACTCGCCACGGTTTGTTAACCTCACGGGGTGCATGAGGTTTATGGTGAAAGCCAACAAGCAGATCGATAACCCTAAATTTAACTGTAATCTTGCTTGGTTTCTGACTGATTGATTTGACAGACTAGGTTTCAGCCCCAACTCTTATAACTTGCTGCTATGCAATGATGGTCTACAACTTTCCCTTTTTATGAGCCACCACACAGGAAGAGAAGATCAAGGTGCCCACAAAAGAAGCAGTTGTACTGCCTATTGGCACTAGGGCCCTGCTCTGAGATGTTATTTGTTTGGCCTAGGCTCCTGCTGCTTTGGCACACTCAACAAAGTAATGAGAAAAGTAGCTTTTGGAAAAGAGGACTTCTTAACCCCTAACTGGGCCAGACTTTATCTCAATGACAACCCATCCATTTATCCCAAACATGAGAGAAGAGATGGCAAATATTTCTAAAGTCTTTATAGACTTACCTAATGATTGAGGTCACTGCTGTGAATTGCAACTAGAGATGGGCATGAATCGCCAGTTTGGCGGCTCATGCCAGTTCACTTATTGGCCAAACAGATCATTCTTCAAAGCTCCACCTCCTCCAGCAGGCACCATTCAGATGCAGCATCCAGAGGAGGCGGGACCGGCAAGCTTGGCTGCTGCCTCTGATTGGGTACCTGCCAGAGGAAGTGGTGCTTTGAAGAACCAAACACTTGTTTGACCAATAACAAACTGTCATGAACTACTGAACCAGCGGTTCGTGCCCATCTTTAATTACAACAATTAAGTCCAGCAACTTTATTATGAGTCTCATCTTTCTTGTATCCTTTCATTTGGTTTCGCTATTTTGCACACTTATTTTGTTGAAATGAATCCACCTCTGACATTCCGTAGCTGATTTTACACACAATTAAGAGACCAATCATACTATACCTGACACAGTCATGCGGTTACCTTGGTGAGCCAGCCTTTCACAGTAGGTTTAGTGTCACTGAGAGGGATTTTGGTGGGATTGGTCACCTGCACCTTCAGGATCTTTTGAAGGACACGGATCCAGTCCTCTAGGATGTTAGGAGAGTCGGCTGTTAGGAAGTAGGTTCGTTTTTCAGTGATGAGCTACAAGTGAAAAAAAGACACAGTTCAATAACAAAAGGCATAAAGTATTGTATTAGCAGCGAATATGCTGATAACCTGAAATTTCAGCCACATTCACTAGAGTAGAATCCTGAAAAGGCAGAAGGGATAAAATGCCTGAATGCACTCCTGTACAGCCTAGGCAATCTCTTTTAGCCCCATGGCTGAATTCAATTTCAGAGAAATTCAGGAGGAATGGGACAACTACATCCCAGCTGTGGGTGGGGTCTAAAGCACCAGCATTGTTTCACTTAAGGCTCTTACCACCAGTCGCTATGAATACATCAGACAACCCTACTCCAAGGGCAGAAAGAGGGAGAGATTTCTGTGCCATCTTCAGCAGAGCAGTTTTGATCCTCGCACCACATGTTTCTTGTGGAAATTTCCACAGACAGTTCTTGTCAGAGATGGAAGAACAAAAAGGTGGTGTGCCAGCAGGGTTTCTTGTGAAAATTTCCACAGACAGTTTTTGTCAGAGATGGAAGAAGAACAAAAAGGTGGTGTGCCAGCAGGGGTTATAGATCCACAGGTTCTCCTGCCCTCTGAGTCCCCAGACACTCCCTAAATTAGCAAAAGATCTGTAATGACTCTGAAAGTGCCATGGGTTAATACATGCCATTTAAAGCAGTGTTGGAAGGGGGGGGGGAAGAAAATTTCCACAGACAGTTTTTGTCAGAGATGGAAGAAGAACAAAAAGGTGGTGTGCCAGCAGGGGTTATAGATCCACAGGTTCTCCTGCCCTCTGAGTCCCCAGACACTCCCTAAATTAGCAAAAGATCTGTAATGACTCTGAAAGTGCCATGGGTTAATACATGCCATTTAAAGCAGTGTTGGAAGGGGGGGGGGAAGGAAAAGTACTGAGCATCCCTTCTTCTGGACCTCCTCCCTTCTATCTACCAACCCCCTGTTTGCATACTTAGGCTACACTTCTGTGATCCCATTAATGTGCCGTGAAAGTCACAAGATGAACCAGACACCGCCTTCCCCACAAGGGTGAATGATAATATTCCAACTTCAGTGAGACAGAGCTGATTTTTGATCCCCCTTAAAAGACCAGTCAGAGAGGAAGAAAGTGTTTGTCCTTTAAATCCAGTGCCTCTGAAACCCCAGCTGTGCCTCCAAGAGGAATAGAAATGCAGATGCCCCTCAGAACATGTCTTATCATCTTTCTCTCCCACTGCTTACAATGGGAGAATTTTTTTTCTTTCAAAAAAGAAGGAAAGAAAAAGAAACACCCTAAAAATTGGCTCTGCCAGTATTTCCACTCTGCTAACAAGGGCTTGGATGGGAATAAAGTTCTCAGGATCTCTCTCATAGACTTTCAGAAATGTAAAAAAAATGTTTACCTGGAAGGTTTGGGATCCTTCACCCCGAATGATTTGGCAAGAAGAATTCAGTTCAACCTGGCCCTCAGGCTTACAAATGACATCACTCTGGAGAGAGAAAGACAACAAAAGAGACCATGGAATATAGGATATAATAACTGGGGGGAAATGCTGGAAACCTAGTTTAGTTGCTATTTTGATAGTAGGGTGATCATTCATGAAAACATTACTGATAAATCTAAAAACTGAGCCTGGAAGGGTATACTGATTTGATTAACGAATACTGAAGAGTTAATTAACGAAAGTCATTTGTTAGTTGGGGTGACTCAGTACATATACATTTTTAGAAAGAGAGTGATGTTTTGATTCTGGCGTCTTACTGCAACTGGTAACAGAAATACAGTATCAAAAACAGCCTAAGAATGAGCTATTAGTTCTGTTTATTAAAACAGTAGATAGGAATGTTTGCTAGCAACTCACCGGGGACTTATAATACATGATTTGACCATTTCTCAAAACAAACCAACGCCTCTTCCATGCCTTTATCTGGTTACCCATTTTCAGCAAGTAGCCAGATTTTTCTAGTAGTTCCTACAGAACAGAAAATAAATATTTTGCTCTGTGTGATGGACAAGGTGAAAAAGAAAGTACACCAAGACCCAAGCCTACTCGTCTTGTAGGAACTAAAACCCAAGGCTGCTGTCTTCTATTTTTGTTTCACTGATGCTCAACTTTCCAGAAGTCAACCGCAGTTTTTTAGCCCTCATTGACCACATATCAGCGTATCCAAGGTCCACTTCACACTGTGCACAACCACTCTTGACACAATTGCAACAGAATTAGAGAGGTGTGTGCCAGGGCAAATTGTGAACACCACACTCATGTCTCCTAATAACCCCTTCCAGTCACTTCATACAGATCTCAAAAGGCACTGGAATGAGATTTTGCCCTCTCGTATCCCATAGCACAATTGTCAGCCGGCAGTAGGTGCAGCTGCTGCTTTCCTTGTTTCCCCTAACAGTCTCTCCTGCCACTGACCCCTCACTCCAGTTTCCTCCCCCATTCCAGTTCAGGTGCCATCCTTTCCCTTATTTCAGTTGCTGTAGGTTTTCCCCCACAAAAACCTGACGTCGGGCTTTGAGAGGTCATCAAAGACTTTTTGAAAAGAGCCATCTCTGGAAAGCTACATAGAGTAGCAGTAGCTCTTTAGAATGATGAGGGCTTGTGGGAAGAAATTCACTGCTCCTGGGGATCTGATAGCGGGCTTTGTCCAATGTCAGCTGTTTCAGTTACTGCTATTTCAGTTATTGTTTTATGGGTTGTATTTTTAGGGAGCATATTTTAATATTGCTATAGGTGTTGGGAAGTTATACACAACAGGATTTGTATAAGCTGGTTTCAATTTTTTAACTTTTAAGTGGTATACATAGATGTATTTTGAAATATATCGCATGAAGAGAGCAAGAATACTTCTGCAGGTAGTCAAACCAAACATACTTCCTGTCGGAGATGGGGACTCAGGTTGCGGGATTTGCTGTCATGTTGGACTTAAGTCGCACTGGAGACATGACTCAGACTCAACTTGGGTTTTTCTCATGATTCAGAATCCACCTATTTCTCCCTTTTTTCTGGGGGAAGAAGGTTGTTTTTAATAGGGACTCAGACTTGAGGCTTGGGACTTGGGATTTGGTAACTCGGATGTAGACTTGGTATTTGGTACCAAGGCTTCGGACTTGGGACTTGGATCCAAAGACTTCGATGTAGACTTGGTACTTGGTACCAAGGCTTCGGACTTGGGACTCGGATCCAAAGACTTGCCAACATCCTGCTTCATTCCTGCACCCAACTTTATCTTGAGTATCAGTATACAGCAAACGGCCTGTGATCATGGAGGGGGATGTTACATACAGCACTGATGTTTGGCCTGTGATCATGGAGGGGATACTCTTCACCCCACCATGGCTGTACACAGCAGCACCCTTCCAGCTTGGAACCTAGGCTGCCAATGCTCAATACATCATGAAACAATTTAAAATGAGTTCTACTTTAAGGAGATGCAGACATTGCTGTCTGCTGACAGGCATTGCAAAAATAGTCATCTTATCTTACATGTTTATATCCAGTCCAGAATAAAGACTTTGGGAGAAATATATCTTACATTGCATACCCCACCATCAGCAGAATAGGATGATGTCCTCTGCAATTTGTGCTCTGGTTCAGAATAATCTTCATCCAAAGAATAGGCATCGGGAGGGATGGCATAATCGCTCTCTGAACTTAATGAAGACATAGACACACCTGCTGAGGAAAGATTGAAAATCTGTACACTTTTCCTGTCTGAAGAAGTGGATTTGTTCACAAAAGCTTGCATTAAAATAGAGTTTTTAAGTTGCCACAATGTTTCTGCCTTCCTTATTTTTTATTTTTGTTTTGTTTTTCTCTGGCTATCTTTCCTTGTCATTCTTACTATCTACCATGCATACTAATATGTACATTTATAGCAGAACTCTATTTATGCCTATTTACAAATAGGTCCCACTAAGTTGAGTAGATCTACTCTCAGGTATGTAAATATCAAATCACACACACATGCTTATTCTTTATTGGTTCAGTAGATAACTAAGCACTTAATAAACAGAGTAGGATGCCTCCACTGAGAAATATTGTACTTGAAGTGATCAGAGGTGACGTAGCCACTCTGAGAGCTATGCATGGAAGAAGACTTAACATTCAAAAATAAATCTATAGCAGTACAAGAATGTGTGTTCAAGAGTACATCTCCAGTACATTTACAAGACTAAAAGACCTTAAGGTACACAAACTGGAGTTATCTCCTTCTTGCACTGATTAATTAATTCTAGTTAATAAGATACTGTTTGTAGCCTGTAGCACCATCTTTAGTCAGTATGACAGATACAAATATCTGTGGCAGATATTCCTAACTATTCTGAGAGAGAAAGGTGTAGGCCTGGTATATTTATTTCTCCAGAGGTTCTTTAGGTGACTCCATATGATACTTTTCTCTGCAGGGTTCCTAACCTTTTGAAACAATTGAAAAAGAAACAAAATGAGAGAATTAAGTCTTTCTGTCTGGTAAGAAGATGGGGAGCAATAAGCTTAGTGACTACTGGGATAGAGAGAGGAAAAGTCCAATGAGAAACAAAGTGGTATGTGAGGGAAAAATAGGAAAAAGGATGAGTATCACAGATAAACATTTCACAGACAGAGAAAGAGAGATGCTGGTGTAAATAAGTGGGAAGATAGGCGAGTAAGCTGAAAGAAAGGCTAAAGGAGCTCCAGGTGGATAGAGAGAAAGACCAATGAAAGGGACCTACCTCAGGTACTAAAAGTGATAGTTTTGCATCCACAGTGACTCCTCGCCTGAGATCATTATCTCTTTAGGGAGAGGTGATCGTGACAGAAAGAATGCTACGAAATCTGGCAGGATGTGGAAGTCAGTAGCTAGATTTTGAAATCTCTGGCATAAGAGTGGGTTACCAGCAGAAGGTTGCCAGTTTATGCCATCATTGGACCAATAGAACCTTTGGAGTAGCGAAGGAGGTTGCGATACCTGGCAAGTTTGCTACACCTGAATGGGCTACCAGTTGCAAAATCAATAAGAAAGGCATTCATCTGCCAGTCGTGACAGATGCCAAACTCATGGCAGTTAACCCATCCCAAAACAACCCAGACAACGCAGCATTGATGTTAGTTGGTGATGGGGGGAACGCCTTAGGCGTAGTTATATGTTAGGGAAAAAACTGTTTTTGAATCAGTTTTACCACGTTTGAAATTGATTTTAAAAAGTCTGCATGACACACAGGGAAGCATGGATATTTTTGTCCAGGAAGTGTGGGGGTTTTTTTTGTTGGAAAGTGAGAATTTTTACCCGATTGAGAGAGAGTTGTTTATTTTGAAGCACTTGTGAACTTGATTTATTTTGAATTACTTCAGCATATGTGAACTTCTCCATAAGTGTAACATGCCTGTGCCGTTTGTCAAGTAATGGATGCCAGGACCATTACTTCAGGTTTCAGGTTGCAGGTTAACCTTGCTGTCCAATCAGAGAGAAATGTTAAATGGGAGAAAGTGCTCCCTCCTTTGCAAGCTTAGACATTGCCAATCTTATCAATTCCTCTGGTTAATTTCTCTTTGCCACTCAGTGGTATATTTTCCCTTTTGTCAGCCCCTGCTGCCAGTTCCCTCACTCCCTCTCCTCTCCTGTGTGTGTGTGTCTGTGTGTGTGCACTCATGCACACACGTGTGTATTGAGCTCCAGGAAAACCTTGGAGTCCCATCTGTTTTAATTTTTTTCTATGTGTCCTACTGAACTAGCGCTAATCTAGATTGCAAGAAATTAAAAAATAGCCTCAAATGCAACTATTCTAAAAGCCTCTTTTGCTTCCTCAACTGATATACAACACCGCTTAAAAACAAATTAAAAGTTTTCCTAAGAGGTTTTGCTTCCTCAACTGATATACAACACAGCTTAAATTTTAAGCTTTAAATTTAAAGCTTAAACAAATTTAAAGTTTTCCTAAGAGGACGACACACCGACCCCAAAAACTATGTGACTACTAAGTGACTTTAAACAGACTTCAAAAGCATTACTCCACCGCCTGATTCATTTTCATAGTGCAACTGCGCCCTCTATCACACTGGCAAGGCTGAAATGCTTTTTCATGGTATATAACCAGTTTGAGATGTTAATTTTTCTAGGGTATTCAGACAAGAATCACAATGATCTCAGGCAGGTATCTCACTTAGGCTGCTATCCAACACACACGTCCCTGGAATCTCCTTTTCCTAGGCCTGCCTTTTGAGCATATACAGTATGTTTAGGATTGCACTATTAGTAGATTTCATTGCTGTAAGTCTGCACAGTTTCCATCTCAGTTTGAACTGTGCTATGTATAAATTTCAAAAATCACTTTAATCCTTTTCTTCCAGACATGCAGAAAACTGTACCAAATATTTTCTTTCTCTTACCTCGTTTCACTGCACGAGGGCTGCCCGGCATGCTTGTTTTTCTAGGTTCAGATGCTGTATTGGAAGTGCTGAAGCTAACATGGGAGCTGCAGTCATCATCAGAGCCTGAAGACTCATCCAAGAAAGGAACATTGCTGATTTGCGTGGCTTTCTGGAAAACAGAGTTTCTGAAGTTCAGATTAAAGGAAAAGCAGGCATACCAATTCAAATAAATGCCACAATTCAAACATAACCAGGCAAAAGGGAAAGGTTTACACTGTTTTTGACAAAATAGAACACAAAAGTCTGTATATCTGTTCACTGGGTTTGTCCGAGCAGTTTCCACATGATGTTCTTTATGTACAGAAGTCTGTGAAACTCTTTCTTGTCGCATGCATCCATGCTGCTGCGACGATAGCCTCCATCTTATGGCTGCTCATATGTACCACATGAAATTACTATTGTATTCCCATGATGTTTGCAAACCCATGCCTGACAGTACTGCTCATTCTTGAGAGGTTAAATGTGGCAGCAGAGAGGAAAACTTTCAGCAAGCCATATTCCATGCTATTAGTTAATCGGTCACTGCATGTAATTTGGATAATTTACAATCTATATGCAACATCTTTAAAAGTACTGCTATAAAATCTGCATTTGATGTACAACATTAAGAGCAGGGTTGCATCTTATTTTTAGGAACTTCCACTCTTGGAGGCTTCCAGGAGTGGCAATTTTCATTATTCACATGAGTATTTTTTTTTTCTGGAGTGGGAACGTGAAAGCAGCCACAAAGTGTCCAGTGAGCTATGAAAACAACCATAAGAGTTTCATGCAACTCAGAGGCTCCATGATTCACACCTCGGTTTTAAGGGGAAGCAAATTCTGGATGACTGCCCATTAAAGTATTCCCTACTTTGATATCTCAGGAAAAGGCTTCTAGTCGTGCTACCCGTAATGCCTAAAATTGACTCCCTGTTTGCACTCCAGAATTTGTTTATTTACTTTTTTCAAGAAAAAAATGAAGACTTCTACCAGAGATGTCCATACCAAAATATGCTTTCAAGTCCCAATCCCTTCTGCTTTACGGGACTGAATTGTTGCAGGTTTCTAATGTTTTCAGATGGACAGTGTCTACCTGATTTTGAATATTCATTTGGTGATTTTTCCTAGTTTACTGTTGTGTTACAAATGCAACTCTGCATTTCTGAGGACCACATAACAACTTTCATGCCAGTATCATGCCCCTTGCGGGCTTTACCCATCAATCCCTTGTTTGTTTAACAGAAGAAAAGTAAAAGAAAAAGGATTTCTTACCCCCTTTAGCATGGTGTAGACAGGCGCAGTGACATTTCTGTAAATGTGGTAGGTAGATGGCCCAGGGCGTGAATGGGCTGAGAAATTCGAAGCTGAAATTGTTTATACAGTTTTTGTTAAGTGGGGGGGGGGACATGAAATTTTAAAACAATAATTTTTTAACAGATGCATTCACAATTAGCTAGACTGGACTGTGGGGGGAAGGAAATAAACTTTATGTTGCTGCAGAGAGGCTGGCAAAAACAAACAACTGACAAGTAAGATGCTGCAGTTCTGAATCACTGAGCTTTTAAAAATTGCTTTTAATTCAATTATGTTTTAATTTAAGTTTGAAATAAAAATGGGTTTGTCATTGTTTTATTGAAAAAGCCCTCTTAATGCCCTCTAGTGGTCAAAAATATTTTTAAGCACATTAAAAAAAATTAATAACCATGGCCCATCAAGTCAATTCTAATTTATGGTAACTCTTTTCAGCATTCTCCAGATAGAGAATACTCAGAAGTGGTTTACCATTCCCTTCCTCTTGTCCAAGACTATACATGCTGACTCTACCTGCAGGAAGCACAGTGGGGAACTGAACTTCCAACCTCTGTCTCTACAGATGGACACCTAAACTACTGAGATTTCAGCCAGCTGGGGCCCTCAAAATAAGCATTTCCTCAAAGTTCTCCAGAAGGCACAATGGGACTTTTTGAATGGGGGGGGAAGAGGAGGTATGGAAGTGTTGGTCGGTGCTGCTAACCACGCTGACTGTACCTCAAACAAAAATGGACGTATTGGAAAATATTTCCCATGTTGATTACCGAAGGAAGGCGGGGCTCCTCTCTGGTTTGCTATTCACTTCAGAGAAGGAGCAACACACATCTCTCACAGGAGAAGGATTGCTTTGTTCCTCCCGTATCCTTGCAGAATATACAAACAAAGAAATTCTTTATTTCCCCTTACAGGTCTCCATCAGGAAAGGCCAGCAGCTTCCCTTTGATATTTATGTTTTTCATGAAAACATTAAAGAGTGATGCCAGGCTCCCAAGTTTTAATGCAAATAGCATCAGCTGTTCTCGCAAATACGATATATTATCACAGGAAGCAAGACGGTGAAGTGCTAGTACTTACTCTGGCTACAAGAGTCATTCCCAAGGGCATCTTCTGAAAGCCTCATGCCAGACTTGGCAACTGCATAGATTCGCCTCTCCTAATGTAAGACAAAAATTTGTGGAGAAAAGGGAAAACTAGAAGGATAGTTTTCTACTCCTTTGAAGCAGCTCTGGCTGCTTTGCCCTACTTTGGACCCATCCCCCCCAAAGCTACTAGCAGTTGACTATCTTAAGTGAAGGATTCCATCTTGGGTTAGATTTAAATTTAGGCAGGTTCAACTAATCTGGTGGGACTGCACTCCCTGCCCCCTGAAAATGCCACACAGAAGATCAGATCATCCTGCTGAGTGGAGTGAGCAGTCCAGAAGGGAAGGAAGGCATCATTAAAAATCTAAAAATCATCATTAAAAGCCCTCATTAAAAATCTGCCAGGAGAAGACAGTTCCAAGATCCAACATCTAGAACAGGAGCAGAGACGCTCCCAACTATTGGCTGCCTGGATCTGCCATAGGCCACACCAGCCCAAAGAAACAACAGCAGAAATGGCTGGAAGCCTACTTCCATATTCAACTCGTGACTCCCATTTGGCTTGTGACCCCAACACCTATGCTAGAATCTCAGATCTTACCCAAGATGGAAATCTGTGCAGTGGAGGAGTAGGTGGCTTGCCTCCTGGGTCCATTATTCTGGCTTTGTAAGTTCCTGTCTCCTTCCTTGAACAAGACTGCTGATGAGTCTCCACTAGACAGTCTTCCATCTCCATCTTCTCTGCTACCTCTTCATCAATATCTGTCTCCTCCACTTGCTCCTGGCAGTGGGTAGCAGCTCTTACAGGATGAAAAGTACTGATCTCAATGTTCACCACATGATGGAAACAATCAGTTCCTGACTGGGGTTGACTGCAATGCCTCTTGGCTAGCAGTATACTGTCCCTTGGATTGCTAGGAGTCTGACCTTTAGGGAGAGTCATGCTATTACCAAATCTGCTTTCTTTCCCTGGGAAATTAGAGGGTACTGAGGTGATGGATTTTTGCAAATTCGGAGCAGAAATTGATGCCATGATAGAACTCTTACAGGTATTCTTCACTTCACCAGAGGAAGAGGAGTTCAACCGAGAAGTGCTGAACTCAACATTTAGTTCATTTGATTGCTTGTACAGATCAGCTGCTGTCTTGTTTGAGGCACTTGTGGTGCTCTTAAGGTCTTCCAGAGGACACTGAAAATCTAAGCATCCATGAAATTTCACTGTTTCCTCTTGGTATTTTGATAATGTTGGGCGAAACTGGGGGGTTGCCTTGGAAAGCAAGTCATTCATTGAAGAGCTGTTGTAGTTTGAAGAGTCAGAGATAAGCCTCAGTGAGTTGCGAGAAGGCACTGAATTGTTGACCTCACTTGCTACACAGGTGTCATCCATAAAGACCATACTTGTTATATAAGGAAATCCTTTCAGAGATACACCCTCATATGCCTGTTTGATGCCCACTGCCAGAAGCCTTGAATCCTGGTCTGGGTTCCCCAGCAGGCATGACAATGGGTCTCTAAGCAGCTTCATGTTACAGCTGGAAACTGATTCTTGAGGAGGAATAGTTATCAGACCTGCAATTTGGGATTTAATAAAATAAAATAAAAGGCTTTGAGCTGGATGCTATTTGGCATGGATTTTGTTTAGTTTTGTACCACTGCCATGCTGAGCAATGGCATGGAACTAAGGAATTAAGCCTTGGTTCAAATTAGCCCCGAAACTGGAGGCTCCAAATTGAATCAGACAGAAAGAGACAGTACAGTTATGCGCAAGAGCCAATGTATCGTTCAGAGCTGTGTGATTGGTAGCATGCTGGGAACACTTAATGCCAGGTTATTATAGCAATCATCTCATTTGGTAAGCAATGAGAAGAGATGAAGGAACCATGCTTGCAAAGTTTCCAGCTGGAAAGGTGCTTGCAGAGAGAGTTGAAGCCTCGTGCAGGGACAAGCACTCATGTATTCCCACCAAGAGTAATAGCACAGGACTGAAATCCCTACACATTTACACAGTCCTGTGCTATGTGCTGCTTGCCTCTGTAATATGGTTATGTCTGATTTGTTACTGCAGAGCAGTGGGGGGAATCCTGGGCTCCCCACAAGGCAATGTTTATGTCCCCCCACCAAGCACTTCTGAAAACCATGTCACTGAAGTTGTTTTCAAATGGCTTGTAGAAATTTGGAAACAGAGAAGTTTTTTTTAAAAAAATTTAACACCCAAATGATTGTTTTAAATGGTCTGCCCACGGAAAGCAACTTGGGAAAGATAATTTTTTTCTGTTCATATCACCATAGGCCATCAGAAGCAGAGCGTATTCTACACATCATCATAGAAAAAGTTTGTTGGAAAATGATGCACGTGATTCAGCTGACACCATTCTACAAGTCACTCGAATTGAACTATGTTATCTGTTCTTTGTGTGCTGGCTTCAACAAATAAACATGTTAACACTGGTAAACTAGCATATTATCAGCAATCCTATTAGTCCCGTTAAATATGGAGCTGCCTTTAATTGTACCTTCATGTACTTAGGAGTTGTATGCATTGATAAGACTTCTGAAATATTATTTTTAAAGTATTATATCTAGTTGTCAAACAGCTGTGCATTGGAAATAGATATTTCACATTGAGGTGGACCTATTTTAACCAATGAGAATAAGAACATATCATTCAGGTTCAAGCCTTTAGTATTCTACGGAAATCATTGGAGACCTTGAGCCAGTCACTTTCTCTCAGTCTGACCTACGGCACAGAGCTGTTGTGAGGTTAAAGTGGCAAAGGAGAGAATATATGCATCTTGCCTTGAGTTTATTTGAGGGCAGACAGAGTAGAAATGTAATTAGTCATAATAATACTGTCAGGGAGGAAGTCAGCAAATCTGAAGAACCGACAGTGACATAACATGAGACCCAAACTCATATTGCAATCCTTAAGTAACAAAAGTGTGGATTATTCTCACATGCTTTTGTTTCCATTTTGCTAAAATAAAAAAATAAAAAGGCCGGCAGAGAAGTCAAATAATGTTGGTTTTGGTGATACATTGCATCTGACAGACAAGCAATAAACTCCATCCAAAGGTTGGAATTGCTTCAGTAAAGCTAATGTTAGTTTGGAAATGGTAACAGATATCTTATTAGACAGCCTGTCTGAAAGTATGTTTTAGAAAGCATATATGAGATGGAAAATGGAGAGATCATATTCTGATCACACTACTTCTGTGCGTTGGAAGGAAATCAAAACCAATTCCGTTGAAGCTGGCATAAACAGTTTCTCCTAACGCATGCCACCTAGATACTATGAAGTCAGGACCGTTGTTCTCTGTTTCCTGGATGACAATAACAAAATATATATTTACCCTTCAGTGCCTCTTGAAGGGTTGTGACCTGCGTTGTTAGCCTCAGGTTAAAATCCCTGAGGTAATGGTTCTCCAGTTCCAGCTATGAAACAAAGGAAGAAAGCATGCAAAAAAAATCATCTTAAGTATCTTTCCAGTCTAGAGCTTGCTGTCCTGTCTAGAGCTTTTTATCCTGTTGCATTATATCCAAACATGTCTACCATCTGTTTAAACCCATACCCTTGGACTTGTTGAATTCAAATAATGAACAAGTTCGTAGATTGTACTATAAGCATGGATCATTATCATGCTAGTTCCACAACCCAAAGAAGCATCAAAAAAGGACATCAAATTTGGCATGAGGTCTTGTCTAGCAATGGAATGCAATTGCTGATCTCACAGCAACAGTAACTCTCAGGAATTATTCACATTGTGATGTTCTACTCAACCATTCAGGGGTTGCTCTGGATTATTATTTTGTATTTTTGATGCAGATTTGAATAGATCATCGTGGTCTTTGCATCCATATATGGGGAGGGCATTTGTTGGTGGGCGTACTAGGATGCACTGGGTCCTTTTGGTGCCACCAGTACACACAAATCTGGAATTTCTCCCTAAGGTCTCACTCTGACCACAGACTGCCACTTTCTTCTCCACACTGTCCCTGCCTACTTCACTCTCTCCTCCTTGCCTTGCCTCTTCTACGTGCCCTGGTCTTTGCATCCATACATGGGGAGGGCATTTGTTGGTGGGCGTACTAGGATGCACTGGGTCCTTTTGGTGCCACCAGTACACACAAATCTGGAATTTCTCCCTAAGGTCTCACTCTGACCACAGACTGCCACTTTCTTCTCCACACTGTCCCTGCCTACTTCACTCTCTCCTCCTTGCCTTGCCTCTTCTACGTGCCCACCATTCTCAACTTTCACATTTTCACTGCAATGCTTTCTAATTTAGTTTTTTTCTTATTTAGAATTAAAAGTTCAAAAAAATTAAACAGCAGAATGCAAGAACACCTGATTTCCCAAGAAAATTAAACAGGAGCAGCTGTTAAGCAAAGAGGGGCGAAGATGACTAGCAAAAACAGAACCATAAGGAAACATTAAATGACACACCATCATGAAGGCTCATGGATCAGCACACATCAAGTACTGAGCAGATCACATACACTGGAACAAACCAGAGCAAGGCAGAAGAAAAATAAACAGCTACCCAGCAATAAGGTAGCAAAATCCAGCAAGCATGGTCTTGATTGTCTCTCTTGACATAAGTTTCAGCCTTGCTCTGGGGAAAGCTGAACAAATGCCCGTAAACACACCACCAAAACATCTGATGCTAGTTGCAATGGCAACCCCTGTGAAATCTTTAAACCTCCTGATAGAGAAATCTTGGGTCTCCACTCAGCCATCTCCACCTAAAAACCCACCAAAATGCTGATCACATTTCTGCATGTACAGTATGTCTTGAAAAGGAGAAAAATATTGGTCATCACCTCTCTTAGTTTAGTCGTTACCCAATCTTTAATTTTAGCTGCTTTTTCCTGAACAATTCTAGCTTCATCCTCTCTCAGCTGCTTCTATGGAATAAAATAAAAATGTGTTAAGACAGTAGAAGAACTTTGAAGTAATTAGTTACAAATAGTAGTTACTATTATTATAGTTAATTATTTTCCCCAATAACAAAGACATCACTACACTATGTTAGGATGATAGTTTTATAAGGAAAAACTTCACTTATAAATTGTGAGTTCTTTCTATCACTACCCAAGTATGATCTCATTGAATAGAAGATGACGAATATTACATGGTTCAAAGCTAAAATTGTGCAACACTCTTCTGTTCTGTTTTGGGGGTTGAAGTGATGACAAGTTGGAAGATAGAAAAGTATATTTTGTAATAGAGGCCAGTGGCTTGTAGCATTCAGATTTTAAAAAGTAACTGAAATATAATTATTTGGGAAAAAGTAAATACTTTTTAGAAACTGCAACTATATTGTTAACTATTTTTTGTGGGACTTGGAATTATAACAGTAAGTCCTTTTTAGAAATAATACTCTAGTCGCCGAGAGTAGAGACAATTTGGAGTCATTAATATAGAGATACAGCCGCATATCTTTTCACAAGATATCATTTCACACAATTCTTGCCTACTCCAACAAGAGTGGAGATTTTGTGCATGTCTGGTCTGCAGATCGGAAGATGACTGCTCATCTGTAAAGCCTTATGTGGCTTAGAGAGCAATCTAATTTGTGGACTGGAGTGGGTTAGGACGGATTTTTCCCTGGCCAGATAGCATATCTGCACCCCACATCATCCTGTTGCATCACGGACAACTCTGTGGGAAACTATTGTTATTCCACTGATAGTGGGTTATGAATTGGAGTATACTGGAGAAGTCTTGGATGTGCTGGATCGAAGATCTTGGACTGGGGCCAGTAACAATGCTGTCCTGAAACAGGTGATGCTAACTCTTTCACTCTCAAATTTGGGTCAATGGCCTCAAGATCTGCTGGGCAAATGGGCAAAAATATATACACTCAGAAGAAAGTACACCTTCTTTGAATTCTGTGCTTTTATGTATCAGGACATAATTAAAAACAATCTGGTCCTTAGCAGGTCTGAAAATTACATAAATACAACCTCAGATGAACGAAAACACATGACATATTAAACCGTGTCCTGACTTATTTAACAAAAACACACAAAACAATAGAATTCAAAGAAGGTATGCTTTCTTTTTCACATGACTGTATACAGTATATCTTATCTTTCTCCTTCTGCTTTGGTTGGCACAATTCACTATCCCAACTTTAGCCTGTGTATACCTGGTTCCATTAAACATGCCTGTGTAGCTACATCAGGCTCCCTGTCAAGAGGTCCTGTCATCTAAAATTAAAGTGGGTAGTGACCCGTTAATAAAATGCCCACCCCAGAGGGCCTTGCCTGATACCAAATTTGTCATTTTTTTGGCCAGAGGCCAAAAAGATTAATTCTTCATTCATGTCAATTTATTTTACTGGGCAGAATACAACTGCTGTTTGCATAAGAGTTGCCCAACCTGCCACAGCTGATTGCAGCTAACTGATGGAATCTCAGGGTACATCTCAGTTGCACAACTGGGCACATAACCAGGCATGCTACTGAGACACAACACAGCACCTTGTCAAGTAGATATAGCTAACCATGTCAAGTTATTCCAACCTTTGTAAACACTAATCAGATTCTGGCCACTGCACAATTTATGCATATTTTGTCACATATATTATGTACTGCCTGATGTACTGATGCTTTTGATTTTTTAATAAATTGTCATACAGCTCTGCTGAAGGAAGGTACATCCATATTTGAAATTAAATCCTTTTAAAAAAAGATATAAATACGATCGGTCATCAGGAAGCCATAATGGTAAACTATATGGTGTGAACAGTACACAGAAGCCCAATGTATTTCTGCTAGTTTTACCTGCTTTTCCAGGTGGGTCTCCAATTTATTGATCAGTTCATCTTTTTCTTGCACTCTGCTCACCAGCTTCTGATACTTCTTGCATTCACTTGATTGGCCTGTCTTCATGTTGGCAAGTTTTAGCTTCTCTTCCATGACTTCAACCTGAAAGAGCCCCCTCATGCTTTTATTGTACCGTAATGACAAAGGGCAGGAAAAGTGAAGGAAGCATATTGGACTTGAGTGGAATGAATGAAGAACTTATTTACTGATGGGCTCCTATATGGGGCTGGGGGCCCCTATTCTTTGTAACACCTTCTCTGGTATTTATCATTACTTGTCATCCCATGAATTAAAGCACACAGGTACACACTGAAGGTGCCATATTTAAGATATTTATGGAAGGGATAAGTTTTTCTGGAGATATGTAAGAGAGATGTGCCTGGAAGTATAGCTTTTTAGACAGCAGGATTATCCTGAACACACTAAAACTGGTTTAGTGAGGTTGCTGGGAACCCAGCCCCTTATTTAATTATTTTTTTTTTAAATGTTCAAATGACTGGGAGGGGAGGCCTCTGTTGCCCACCAAGTCCATGATAATTTGAGCACCGAATTTCTGAAAGGGCTCAGTACCTATAGAAAATAATTCCAAGTAATGCTTTGTTACTACAATTCCTTGAAAAAAAGTCATAATAGTGGAACTGGTTAAAGCTATTTAAAATTCTAATGCAATGTATCTCTTAAGTGTTAGATGCCACACAGGAAAGACAAAAGCAAACATGGAAAAGGTGTCCTGTGCATATCTTCCTTAACAGAGAGGGCACCATGGCCAATGAAGACTGGAACTATTATTGTCTCCTGGTTTAGGTTAATGTCATTTTCATGAATGATGCCTATTTCACTTTTTTGTGGTGGATAAAGCGCTACTAGGGCATGGGCAAGAGGTACTTAACCTCTAGACTCTTCCTCTGACTTACAAAACAAGCCAGCTGCATTTTCTCCTGCTCATGGTTCTCCAAGGTCTTATTCTGGCCCTCACCTGCGGTAGGTAAGGTGTATATAGTAGGTGGGGTAGGGAAGAAGAGATGGATATAGGTAGAGGAGACAACAACAGACTCACCTCTTGTTTCTGGAGCATTTTTAAAGGTAAGGTAGCTCCAAGCTTTTGTGAAATATGGGGTGGAAGCCCACAGTGGGACTTCTCTTCACTATTGTGCTTAGAGATCACGTTAAGTTGTGCATATGTTATGTGCCACAAAGTTGCTTCTGACTTACAACAACCATAACAGGATTTCTGAGGTATATGACAGCTTCAAGGAGTGGTTCCCCATTACCACTCCCAGGGAGTTTCCATAGCTGAGCAGGGATTGAAATCCAGGTCTCCTGAATCCTAGTCCAACATTTTATCCATTACACCACAGTGCCTCTCCACATTAGGTTAACCCTAGGCTAGTGTGCCTAGGGATCACTCTTCTCTTGGCCAGATGACAGGGAGAAGAGCATCAGCTTCTGACTGTCTTTGTCCTCCACCCTCACCACCATTGCCTGTTCCCTTCTATACTCTTCTCCCTCTGCCCAGTGGGATGACAATGGCAAGGAGGAAAGACAGAAGGAGGAGCAGCCACCAACAGCATTAACCAGCCAGGCACTTCTTTCTCTACATCGCTTCACCTTCCTTTCTCCACCCAAATAGCTATATTATCTATTCCCTTTCACAGAATTGGAAACCAGCCATGTAAGGATGTCATAAATAATTTGCTTGTGCCTGAATGTAAGTGATCTTTTCTGGTGAGGCCAACTTTTCCTCTTTAAAAGCACCGATGGCCCCAGGAAGAAAGTCTTCTGTCTTATGCTCCCATGGCTCCAGGCTGGCAATGCCATGCTGGAATATTTCCCAGGCTACATGCCAACGTCTGTACAAGAGCAGGTTATGCTTCAATGGACATTCCTCAATACAACATTGCAGAAAGCTGTGTTTTGTCCTCCTGTCTGTCTGCATTAGACAGAGAGAGGCAAACAGCCTCTCCCCTGCACGAAATCTGTATGGCAAGTGCCTGGCATCCTAGCCAGCATACTTAGCCTGCTGAGCTGAATGTGTGTTTTATTAGAGCTTGGGATAATTACACACAAAAGAAGGAGCCCCTCCCACCTGTCTTATGCTTGAGTGGGATCTCTAGGCTGGAGGCTCTCAGCAAGCAGAGACGGAGGACAATCATGTGACTTCCTTATTTGAGCACAGCAACTCTGGGGAGCACATTGAATGAGCCAGTCAACATTCTGAACTCATGTGGTGAAAGACAACGCCAGCCTGAAAACTCAGCATGCAGCTCTTTCATTTCCCATGTCTATCACTTTCTCATTTTGTCATGCGACAGTTCTACATTAGGTATTAAAGCCATTTCCTAAGCCTGCCAGATTTAATTAAAACATTTCTAAAGACACTTCCCTTTTTTTCTAGTTAGCAATTTGGGTGGTGCCATTGGTGACAGGCAGCAGCAATCTCTAGATCTCCAGGCTTCATTTACTTCTCTTGTTTCAGCCATGATATAGCAATCTAGCCTGAGGTAGAGGCTACTCACTCTATTCCATTCTGATTAAAATGTTACATTGGGGAGTGTTCATCTTACTGGCCTGGTCAGATGCTCAGTGAAGATGTAACGACACAGTGAAGTCCATCTGGATTAAAGTGCATTGCTTTAAAGTTTTTCAACCAGATATCTTTCCGTCTCCATTGCCAACACAGCTGTTGCTATTCACTTGGACCGGGACAGATAAATCATTTTAAGGAGCAGAGAAAGACCTCCCAGCTCTTGAAGGAGTGCCTCGTTTCCAGCTATTGCTCCTTAAACTCTGATGACCACTCCATCATGCTCTAATCCCTCCTGCCCATCTGGACCAAAACAGACAATCAGACTGCAAAACCCTAAGCAAATCAATGCACACAAAATCGGTACAGATGACTAGAAGCCCTTACTGGCAGATCAAAATGCAACAAATGCCCGTGGACAAAGACAGGGCTTACAAGTCATGGGTTTGCTAGAAAATGTATCAAATGCAACCATGCCAACTTTGCTATAAACCATGGGGTGTACTAGAATAACCTATGCAGATTACTTAATACTGTCATGAGGTGAGGGAGGCAGTTCCTTTGCATAATGCTTTTTAGGTATCTTGGGTTTCAAAAATACAAATTCTACTATATCACAGAATGTGTCATATAATTTTAAAATGTAGAACGCAACATGGTGCTAAAATGTTCCTATATATAACTGAAAGTAATTGCCATGAAAGTCAAGTTCTGTCAATTGCTCATTGGCAGAAGACAAACAGTGAAGAACCTGTTCCATATACTAAACCCACACTTCAAGCAAACAGATTCTGCAGGTTTTTGTATCATTTAGCCAACAAAGAAGAAAGTGGGGCAAACATAAATGTATCCAGACGCCCGTTAAGATGCAAAGCCTCCTTTCAATGCTCTCAAAACTACTAAACTACTGTTTATTTCCAGAGTATCGGAGAATCCTTCCAAAGAACAACATGTAACTTACAGCACATGTTGAGACAGTAGCTTTTGGAAGTGCCGGGACAGCTGTCAAGGTTTTCAAACTTCATGGAAATGATGGGCATCAGGTAAATCTTACCTGCTTCTCTGCACTCTGGGCTCTTTGTTCTGCCTCAACTACCCTTTGTTCCAGTTCTTGCATCTTCAGAGCAGAAAAAGAAAATGAAAAGAAAAAAAAGGTAGGGCAGAGGAAAAAAATTAAGAAAAGAAAGATACTTCTTTAAAGTCAAATTCCTATCACAGAACAGTGTTACATAGCATTCCTTGACTTACCATTCTGGTCAGATAAGCCCAGAAACAAAGACCTTTAAGAGAGACCTCCTCAACAATTTTTTTAATTAAAATTTTCTTTTATTGTATGGCTAAAAAGCATACTTTCTGATACTTCTGCTTGTTTCTCTTTGAGAAGCTTGGTGAGGGCCCAACTGTACATTACAGACAACTTATTACTAGAAAAGAGGAAATTCTGTAAATACTGATTGTGTGTGTCTGTCACAGCATGAGCTTTTCTCATTTCCTGCAGTTTACATACTTGTTTGCTTTGTTTCATGACTGGTCTTGAATTTTGTACATGTCTGATTGAATCAGGAATGCTAACATGATTTCACCTGTAGTGACCAGTTATTTATTTATATAATTTTAACAGGTCATTTGTAACACACTAAATGTATTAAGAATCATAGAATCAAACATGTATTAAGAATCATAGAATCAAAAATAATGGTGTTAGAAGGGGCCTGTAAGGCTATCAAGTCCAACCTTCTGCTAGTGCAGGAATCCAAATCGAAGTATATCCGATAGATGGTTGTCTAATTTTCTCTTGAATGCCTCCAGCATTGGAGTACTCACCAGTTCCTGAAGTACTTGGTTTCATTGCTGTACTGTTCTAACAATGTGATAGTTTTGCCTCAAGTGCTCCCAGCAAGCCTTCTGACAAGGATGCACCACTACAGGTGGAGGAAGGGCCATTGCTTGGTATGAGATAGCTGGAAGAAGGCAAGAGCTGCAGAGCTCAGGGTTGTCAACCACATCAGATGAAGGCCAGTCATAGGAGAAGGCAGTCAAGCACTGGTAACCCATCTTCTGCACACGCACAGACGTGCAAGCAGAGATAGAGGACAAGGGGAGCCTCCTTGGATGTTGAGGATCTGAGGCTCTCCCAATGCAGCTCTCAGCTGACCCACCAAGGATCCAGCCTTGGCATCCTTGCTCCCCCATGGGAGCCGTAGAGCCTATCCTAACCCAGCTTTTGCACTGGAGATGCAAGTAGCACCAGGCCCACAAAAAGGGGCTCCAAGAGGAACAGCGTCATGGAACCCAGTTCTCATCATCTGCCTTTATCAGTTCTCCCTAAAAGTGCTGCACCCTGGATTGGGATTCACTCTTCTCACCTGCTTCTCCAGATCTGGACTTCTGGGGACCCCAGTGAAGTCAACTGGCCCACCAACTGGACTGAATCTGGAACCCATTTATTTTGGCCAAGGGGACCCGTTAGTCACCCCCAGAGGGGCTGTTGTACCTCACAAGCAGTTAGGAAGTTTTTCTTGATATTTAACTAAAATCTGGCTTCTTGTAACAACAAGAACCTAGAAATATTGGTTTCTTTAGACTACAATTTGGGGATCCCAGAATCCCCAATCCAAGCTGAAGAATTCTGGGAATTATAGTTCAAAAAACTAATGTTTCCGATCCCTGCTAACAACAGGACTCATATGTTTCTAAGCCATTGTTCATAATGAGGTAAGCATCATGTTGATTTCTATGGTCCTTGAGGGCCATTTTATACTGGCAACTGAAATCTCCCATGTGTCTGTCTCAGGCTTTCATATGACTATTGTCCTATTCTTTTAGTCTACCTTCAGTTTGTGAAATGTCCTTCAGTTATGGTTCCACTACACTAACAGGAATGTTGTTATTTTGACTTATGTACTGCCCCACAGTGCTAAAGCACTCTCTGGGCAGTTCACAACACAATTACGCAAGCAAAACTGTTCCTGCCTCCAGTGAAATGGGTACTCATTTTGTCGACATGAGAAGGATGGAAGACAGAATCAACCTTCAGCTGGCTGTTTGAACCCATCATGATTCAGGTCATGAGCAGAGGCCTGACTACAGTACTGCAGTTTAACCTCTGCACTGATGTGGTCCTTAAGAGGAATATCCACATATTTTTCCACAAGTACCTCCTTAATTAAGAGTTTTCGTGGCTATAAAACATATTGATCACCATGCCATGATTAGCAACATATAGCCTTGACTCAGCATTAATTCTGAAAGGCAAACTAGAACACTTCTAGAAAGCTAGCCATTCACTTTATGACAGACATGTTATCATTACAATGCACAGATACTAAATCAGTTAGGATTCTATGGAAGAGGGTTCTGATTTCCTTCCAAGAAACTTTTTGATTGCTGCCCTGAACATCATTTCGGCCACTGACTTTAAAGCCAACAATTCATAACAAGTGGTCATGGATTCCTCAAATAAATGATCCAGTACTGCAGATATGCATCCTGAGTGGCAGTACCTTGCCACAATGAACTAGAAAATGTAAAAATGCAGCAAAAGAAGGAAACAGACAGAAAGTTCGCACAAGCAAAGAAGAATGCTCTAGGCCTGGACATGTAGGTTCAGCCCCAGAAGGAAGGACAATACTACGATCAGTTCATGGCATAGCAGCTGAACCTGGGAGTCAGTTATATGGTACAATGTTGAATCACAAAGGATGTAAGTTTGGCCATTCACAGGATGGGCTTAAACAAGTTTCAAGAGCAGCACTGAAAAGGAGTCTTAATGAGCCTTCTGGTTCCATGACTTGAGTGTGGACAGAGCAATAAGAACGATAAAAGCCATACTTCTGGGAGATACAGAAGGGCCCATCTCTAGAATAAAAGGGACCATGCTGCATAAACTGGTAATATATTAACTTGATGATCTCTGAAAGTGAGGATATTTCAGAGTTGGATTATATTTGCCACCTGGGCTTTAGCTGAAACAGCTGAAGTTATCCTCCTGTAGCTTCATTATGGTGGAAACCTGCCAGTTAGATAAGCATCTGCTTGTATCCAACTTTCTCCTTCCTTGCCTAGCTGTAAGAGTATAATCCCTTTTAAAATAATTTCAGTAAAGAAATGAATTTTAAGCTGCTAGTAGCTCATACATTCTCATCAGGATCCTTTTGTTCCTAGCCAACATGAACAGCTTTTTAAACTATAAGCACATTTGTTAGAGAAAGTACTAGGGTTATACTCACAATTAACATGCTAATACCATCATAGGACTCCCTAAGCAGCTACTTCTCAAATAAGACCCATGTGTTGGAGAAACATCTAATTTCCCCCTCACAAGTAAGCAGGATTAGAAAAGGTGGGATCTACAGAAAATTCATGTTCTTTTAGAATTTTACTTATTTTCCTAATGAGTCTCCTTCCGTCCATTAGTACTGTCCTCTGAAGATGCCGGCCACCATCTAATTGCCCCTCACAAGTAAGCAGGATTAGAAAAGGTGGGATCTAAAGAAAACCCATGTTCTTTTAGAATTCTACTTATTTTCCTAATGAGTCTCCTTCCTGTTTCCCACTTCATTGTTTTGCTGTATAATGTTCAAACAGCTGATCTGTAGTTTTAGATTAAATAAAAGTGTGGTTTCATGAAGCTATTGGCGTTTCATACATACTTCTAGGTTCTCTAGGGACAAGCTAATATACAATGAGCATTCAAATGATTCTGTCATGTTTTGCAGTTTTATGAATGAAAAAAACTAACCTGCTCAGTTTATCAGCTGTAAAACAAACACTGAAACACACTTTTCAACATTTGACTATTTATTAATCTCATTTATTACTTTAAATTAATCTCATTTATTAATCTCATTTATTGCTTTAAATTTATTACTTCAAATGAGTTCGAATCTCCAGGGCGGGATGAACTGCAACCAAGGATATTGAAGGAACTGGCTGAAGATACAACATTTTTATTAATGACTTCGATGAGGGAGTGCAAGGAATACTTATCAAATTTACAGATGACACAGAATTGGGTGGAATAGTTAATACCTTGGAAGACAGGAACATATTCTAAGGTACTAGCTATTCCTGAATATCAGCAAAAACTTCCTAACTGTTAGAGCACTTCACCAATGGAACCAATTACATTGGGAGGTGGTGGGCATGCCAGTGCTGGAGGGATTCAAGAGAAAACTGGACAACCATCTATCAGATCTGCTTTGGCCTGAATACCTCAAATAAGCAGGGTGTTGGACTCTGGCCTTACAGGTCCCTTCCAGCTCAATTATTGTATGAGGGTCAGCCCCACAGCAATCTCAAATTCTGGAGCAGGTTATAAAGCAGTCAGTCTGCAAGTACCTTGAAAACAATGGAGTAATAACTGGAAGCCAACATGGATTTGTCAAGAACAACTCTTGCAAGACTACTCTTATCTCATTTTTTGATTGGATAACCTCCCTTGTAGATGGTGGGAATACTGTAGACATAATATATCTTGACTTTAGCAAAACTTTTGACAAAGTGCCTGATGATATTCTGATTAGAAAGCTAATAGGATGCGGGCTGGACAAAACAAGTGTCAGAGGGATACCCAGTTGGTTACAGAATCATATTCAAAAAGTGCTTATCAATGGCTTCTTCTCAAACTGGGAAGAAGTAACAAGTGAGATACCCACTTGGGCTCAGTCCTAGGACCTGTGCTTGTCAGCAATCCCCCATCTCCAAGGAGATACCGGGGATGCCGGAGAATGGAGAGATTCCAAAGTTTAGTCAGTCCTTTAGGAGCTAAGATGAGCCCAAGACTCTCAGCTAGGCCCTGACTAACGCTTCTTCCTCAAATCCACCTCCTTTATTAAGAAAAGCAACACACACACACACAGACAAATCCATGAGTTTAAACTCAGGCTAATCTGGGCTCTATATCAGGTAGCAAATACACATGGCCAAATCATAAAGACTAGTCTGCTCAAGAAACCAATGCATGAAATTCTAAATCATTACTGTTTTATTTAAAAAGGATGGTTCAGAAAAGAATTCAGATCATTGCAAAGTAATTCAGTTAGAAACATTTTCATAGCAAGGCAGACAGATCACCCTCACTACTCCAGCTGGAAAAATAAAATAATTAAAAGCATTGTAAACTAGAATAATGGATAAGCATAGTCATTCTTACGTTCCTGTGATTCCATAGTCCATGATCCACCAGGAAAAGTTAGATTCCAGTTATAATCCATTTTGGGAAAAAGCACGTGTCTGTCCTTTCTCAATCAAACTCCATCTTTTTCCAACTCCTTACCAACTTCCTTCTTCTTCCCAGAATTCTTCATAAGGAACACCCCATCCTGGGTCTTGTTGTCCCACCTAACTTTCTCATGGGAGCTTGAGAGTTGTTCTCATGTTTTGTGGCAGAATTATTTTGACTACGAAAGTCTCTGCTCTCTACTCATCTTAGCAACGAGATAACCAGAGAGCGAAGCTTCTCTGAAACAGCATGAAAAACTTTCCTACTACAGAACAGACTTTAAATCAAGATGGATGCTGTTAAGACAATATTATGACTACAAAACCCATTCTAGCATCTCATAAAAACACAGATCATCACAGTGCTTGTCAACATTTTTATTAATGACTTCGATGAGGGAGTGCAAGGAATACTTATCAAATTTACAGATGACACAGAATTGGGTGGAATAGTTAATACCTTGGAAGACAGGAACATATTCTAAGGTACTAGCTATTCCTGAATATCAGCAAAAACTTCCTAACTGTTAGAGCACTTCACCAATGGAACCAATTACATTGGGAGGTGGTGGGCATGCCAGTGCTGGAGGGATTCAAGAGAAAACTGGACAACCATCTATCAGATCTGCTTTGGCCTGAATACCTCAAATAAGCAGGGTGTTGGACTCTGGCCTTACAGGTCCCTTCCAGCTCAATTATTGTATGAGTCTATGATTTAGTTCATGCTTTTATGACCAATAGCCCACCATGCAATCCCATTCCATAGGTGCCAGGAAAATAAAGTCCTATTATCTACCAAACTAATGTCATAAAGTTGAGGAGAACAGCCAGGATTCATGCCCCACAGTTCATTTATTAACAGGGCCTTCATGCTGCTATGGTAACTGTCAACCTCTTCAATCATCAACAGAATATTACCACTCTCACCTTGTGTGCACAAGTGTGTAAGTAAATGCCAGCTACCAAAGACATAAGATTCATGCAGTTCCAGATTTACTATGTGAAGATGCCTTAATGTTCAGCATAAACATCTGTCTTATTGGCTGCTGAAAAAAGTGTGCAAAGGAAATTCCATGCACTCATATCTACTTCAAAGCTCATTCAGACATTAATACGAGAGTATGTTCCCTTCTCCCTCCCTCCTATTCAGCACCATTTTCTTCCCAATCCTCTTTGTTTCTTGAGAGGCCCCTCAGCTTATTTGTAACAAGGTCATCATGCTGCTATGGCAACAGTCTGCTATGTCACTCGTCAACAGAGTATTACCCCCTTTCTCCTTGGTGAGTGCAACTGTAAAGGAACTAGGGAGTCAAAGGAAATGCTAGATGCCAAAGACATACAGCACATGGAATCATAAACTACAATATACTTTGAAGGAAATCCTTGAATTTAGTCTTATATGAACAACATTGCACCTATCATATCTCTCAAGAGAGCTACTGTATAGTAGGATGTGGTACAGATAATTTTATATTAAAACAGCCTTCTAACATTTCTCATACATTTATTAAGGATTTAAGCTGGGAATCACTCACACATCCAAAAGCCATCCCTTGTTTTTGTATCACTTGATTACTAAAACATGAAGGCTCAAAGGCAAATGTGTGAATCCTTACAAAAAAGTATTGTGCTTTAAAAGCAGTACGTGCCTTCTGTTTTGCCACAGTTATGCACGCATGAAAGTGACCATTAGATATTGCAGTTGGAGGTTGTAACTAGGGCATGGCAACAAGGGCTTTATCCAGGATTTCAAAATTGAGAGGCTGGTGAATGTTAGGCAAATAAACAACAGCACCTACCAGCTCCATGCACTTCCCCTCCTACTTAAAAAAAAAACACACCATAAACTTCCTCTTTCTTTTGGGAGGTCCCACATTCACCTCCTCCTTTTTCTTGGCAATGGCTCACATCCATGCCTTAGGCAAAGTGAGTGGGAGATGGTGCTTCTTGCCCCAGGTGTCAAAATCGCTACCCACAGCTCTGACTGAGGTCAACAAATAATCTTTTGTAAACTGACCTCAGAACTTATTAAACGGGATAGAGATGTCAAAAACAAATAAATTCATGTATGAACCAGCCCTTAGACTTGAACTACTGAAACCTAATGTTTTTAAAAAATGTAAGCATATGTGACTCAATTATTAAATTCTTTCACCAAATTACAAATGATTAAATTAATCACTTAGAGGGGAAATGTGCTTTCAACCATCTTGTCAGTCTGAAATAGGGCCAAAGTTTATTCCAATCCCTCAGACTTCTCTCCAGTCTTTGTTGCGGTACAGCTCATGACTGCATGCTCTTTAACCTGGAAGGGGGATAAAGCCTCCCTAAGCTGTACTGCCAGTTACACAGTAACCTGAGCAATGAACCAAAGTGCTCCCTAATTTCAACAAAGGTTCTAGTAGTTTGACAACCATGCCTGCACTAGATTAGTCTTCATTTCTTTTTTCAAAAATAAGTCAGATGTTCTGTAGAACAGAGCGTACTAAACAGAGGTCTCGTTTAGTTACACCATTTAAATGGATTTTTTTCCCCCAAAAGCGTGGACTAGCTAAAGAGCAGACAAACACTCTTGAACCTTTTTACTTAATGGTCTCTTTAAGTAGAACTGTTGTTTTAAGCAGAATGGAATTTAAGATGGGCTTTTAAAAGCCCATAAAAATAAATATGTAAAGATTTGATCTATTTCCCCAAGACCTATTTTCAGTGCAGTGTGGCAATTCTAAGTTAAAATTATGTATTATAAAAACTGGTTTTGAAATCTCTCTCTTGTGTGGCCCCAACTTCAACAAATGCAGGAGCACAAGCCTCCTTGCTGACTAATCCCATCCTAAAATAAGCCAGGAACATGGGATACAATGCATAGCTTTTGTCTCACCTTCTCAGCCAGAAGCTCCCGGATCTTACTAGCTTGCAGGCGGAATTTGAAGAGCTGGGTCTCCAACATAAGGTATCGTTTTTGCCAGTCCACATAGTTACCATTTTCAACAGTGAGGTCTGCCATTTTGAAACTCTTCTTCAGCCCAAGCTCTCCCCCTCAAGTTGCCCTGGGTAAAACAGAAGAAAATAAAAAAAGAGGATGGAAAATGTTAAAATATCGTATCTGTGATCTTTACAGATTTTCTCCTTTCATGGGGGCCAAACACTCTCAACATTAAACTGCTTCCAATAATTCAGTCACTTCATAGTAAATAAAACAGTGGAAAACTGTTGCCTGGTATTTGATGATACAAAATGAGCACACATTTAGCCCAGGGGTGATTCACATGTACATGTTCATCATTTGATGACTGCCATGCTTCACTGGCAAGATTTTTTGAAATGGAGCCTGTCCACAGATTTGACCTACCATTCTCCAAGTGTAGTAATCAAATATAAGTGCGTGTAGGAACCAACCTTAAAGAAACAAACAAACAAACAAAAGACTTCAGAAGTGTGATGCAAGCCAACAATAGCCATCACAAGTGGCAAGTATACACAATGCCTGTATTTGCTGACCAGCTGTGCTGTTTTCCTACAGATTGACTGAAATCCTGTTCCATGAGTTACATTGCACAAGACTGATGTTGCCATTAGCTGCAGTGATTTTTCAAAAATAGAACATTTTTTTATTTCCTCACAAAAGGTCCCAAGGATCCTGCAGAATTCCTTTCATCATGGGGAAGCCAGCGAGTGTTTTTAAATTGCCAAAAATTGCAGTCCCTGGCTTCATGGCTCAAATGGCTTCTGACAGACAACAAAAAGGATTGCATGAGAACCTTGGAACCTCAGGAAGGGGATCAGAAGTGTTTTACTTCCAAAAGAGTCACCATGTCTGATGGGATAAGTTACCTGGCATAAGTTACAGAACATGACTTCAGACCATGTTTCCTATGAAACAGAATAACAGTGCCACAGTATTTTAGTCTTCCCAAGAAGTCACAGGCTTATCAGGAAGGCTAAAGGATAAATACAATGCCTGAAAGAAGTCTGGAAGTCTGATTCTTCTGGGTCAGCTTTTATGATCATAGTGTAAATAGTGGTTGGCAAGCATCCAGGCCTCTGACTACCTTTCTACTAACAAACATCTATCTTCCTGCCTACCTTCCTACCAAAAGAATGTAAATGACACAAAATCATAGCCATAGAGCCTATGGCATGTCTACAACATACAGTATGAGGTGCCATGGCTCAAATTTGTCTGGAAGACATGCTCATTGATTTTAGGTGTACAGGGACCAGCTAAAGGGACGACTGCATAGGAGGGCAAATGCACTGGGTATATCAGGCTAAAGAGTTTCCAGCTGGTGATAAGAGTCAAAAATAATGCTAATGGGACATGGGATATGGCAGTTGTTAGAATCTGGGATAGCAAACAGGATCTAAGCTTTAACAAGGTTGTAGTCACAATTTGATTGCAGGACTGTTCTACATTGTCTGGCTTCACATGCTCCCTAAGTTAGGTGATGACCAGACTGGTAAAAAAAATGCAGGGAAGCCTCTGGGTTTGGGACAGGCAGGAGTCACTTTTTTAAATTTTATGTTGACCACATGATGCAAAGGAAAATACAGATCAGTCTGGAGTCCCTCCCCCCCCCCAATCTGGGGTACTTGTCCCTGCCCCTGGCAATTCTACTTAAAACAAACAACAACAACAACAACAACAACAAAAACAGATCCATTGGCATCAGTTCAGGCAGTGTGATTGCTTGAACGAAACAGAAAGCTACATTAAACAAACAAACAAAAAGACTCCAGAAGCATGATGCAAGCTGATAATAGCCATCACAAGTGGTAAATATACACAATGCCTGTGTATTGTGCACTCAATGCATTCAAAGCTAACCACCCTATGAAAGAAGCATAAAAGTAAAATACGGGTGAACATGGTTACATTAGTGATATCTGTGAGATATAAATTATTGGTTACATCTGTGAGAAAAATGTAGAGATAGTTTTTTCATCAGCAAGCTCTCTCTGTCACATGTATATATACACTTTTTCTTTTTCTTTTTAAAATGGTGTCAGCTACCTCCCCCCCCCAAAAAAAGAGAAAACGAAGGAAGGAAACTAGAAGAGAAAACCCTTATTCATAGCATATTGTGTCGTTGCTGTATAACCACACCTCCTATTGGGCTTCAAGAGAGCTGCAAACTAGGCTTTTCTCCTCTCTCCCTTCATGTGAACAGACATAGGGAAACCCAAATTACCTGGTGTAACTTCACAGTGAGTGAATTCATATTTCTATCATTGTGTAGGCACACCCTTGCTCTCTGTTTTGCATGTGGTTCCGCAGAGACAAGGGGAAGCAGCATCAGTTTAGGAGGGGCTTTGAGGGGCAAGGGTGAGCAGGTTTTTGCCTTAATGAAGACAGCAAGTTTCCATTAATTGGAATAAACTTTAATCAATAGAGCAGCGAGGTTATTTTCAGTTCTGGAATATTCTTGCAAATGGACAAAAGAAAAAGTTTTTTTTCTATCAGTGAAAAACAAGGGCACTTTTTTTCAAACATTAAATTATATTTTTTTACTTCCTTCACTGTCCAAGATATATTGAGGATTAGAGAATATGGATTTTATTTTAGTTAGAAAGTGAAATTAACTAAAAATTACTTAATTGATCAAGAGTCCTAAATTGTACATCTCCTCACAGTGTTTTTATCCAGCAACCACAGTTTCTGCACACTCACCCGTCACTGACTGACCACTGACACCCCATGATTTTAGTAACTCATCCTCTTTACTACCACTGTAGTCTTTGTGGGCTAAAGGACTACAATCCAAATAGAAGCTGAATCTATTCATCACCGTTAGATTACTTAGGTTAAACACACCCTGACAACCAATGTGATATAGTTCTTGATGATCCAAGTTCTCATCCACAGAGTGACATGGAACTCAGTGAGAGCCTTGGACTTATCAACATCCCTTAGCCTGTCTGCCTCACTAGATTTTTGAGAGGACAAAATGGGGTGGAAGCAGGTCATTTCACATTGTGAAGCCCCCTAACTTTTCAGGAAGGGAGCTAAAAAAATTTAATGTAAAGAACGGCATGGAAACAGAAATTAATTCATAGAATGAATGATAGTGTAAGTTCATTTAGCTTTATCTTTAGGCTGAGGTGAGCCCCTCTTGGTGCAGGGGATAATTTTAATCCTCCTAAGATTGACATACCCCTCATCCCCTGTAGGGCCTGGGAAGAAGAAGGTTATGTGCAGCACCTCAAACTCTATGGAGAAAAGGGTATATGCAAATGTACCTAAATAAACAAATATGCTGGTGAATTTTAAAACATGGCTTCAAGGAACTACGTATCTTAGAGAAGAATTTCCTTCTGTGAGTGTCTTTCATACGTAGATAAAACATATCTAATTATATAAGAGGTATTAGGTCAAAACCAAACTGGTCTTTTAAACATCATGAAGTCTGAGAGAATCTGAGATCAAGACTCTGTTTCTGTTTCAATTATTTTTTTTTAAAAAAAACATTAAACAAATAGGGGTGCTGGGATAAACATTTCAGTAAAATATTGGACAAGAGCAAAAGATTAGACAATAGCAAGTCAATGAAATAAACTGACAGTTGTTCCAGACTAAGCAGTGAGAGAACCAACTAATCTTTATCATCACCATCAAAATCTACCTAGTTTTTATATGGTTTTCCTCTTTCCAGCTTTGTTCTCTAGATCACCAAGCTATATATTGACTCCAATATCTTCCAGCAGGGCTGCTCCAGAATTGTATATTTAATCTCCTGGTATGTTGGTTCTGCTACGGAAACAGAAATGACAGGGCTGTAGGTTAAAATCCTGAAGTCCAATGTGTCTCTTCATTAGAAATCATGAGATAATTGAGGTAGGCAGTAGACACAAAGCCCCGAGTGTCCTCATGGATGACAGAAGTCCTTCTATGGCAAAGCTTTGGTTATGAAGTATCCAAGCAAAGCAAATAATGAGATCAAAGATAAAGCTTAATTCATTAGGCCTCAGCAGGATCTCACATCATTGACTCAGTCTAAATATATTTAACTATGACCCTTTGTTTGCTTTAATCATCTCTGGAATGAATGAATGTGCATGTTCAGAGATGCTGAAAATCTGGGTGGGGGGGCAGAAATGAAACATTTAATACATATTCTGGTCTTTCTTTTTCTTTTTCTTTATTCTGGATAAATTACTAATAGAAATGTCTGCATATACCGTGGTAGTTAAGCAACAGCAAGATGAAGATGGTGATACTGATGATGATAAGTGGGAAATCTCACTTCATACAAATGTTGATCAACACAACAACACTGTCTAGTAGACAGTTGCAGTAATAATAATAACACCAATCTGTTCCTGACACTTTTGACTACTAGGTATAGTGGTTCCATTGAAATCTTCATATACGTAGCCATAAGATCTGCAAAATAGTTACTCACAATTATCTACATGCAACTGCATGTCTGGAACAAGCACTTGTTCTGGATATCTCTAATCACCTGTCTTGTCTGATAGTAGCCCCATTCACAATGTCACACTCTTTTGCATGTGTTCAATTTTGACATCATATATACAGTACTGGGAGAGTCAGTTCATGGACATTTTAGAATAATTTTGTTAAGAATTACATTTTTAATGGCAAAATCATTATATTCTTCTTGTTTGGCAGGAGAGAAAGCAAATGTGTGACCACTGTGATAACAAAATAAACATATCTAAATATCTTACAGCATAGGTTTCAAGGCTTTTGCAAGAAGATTACATTTTCTAGGGAAATTCCACATGTGCACTTTTTACATTTGTATATCTGTTTATTTTTTACAGCTTACAGCTTAATAAACAGTGGCTGAACCTTCTTCTGTAGCTATACAAAAATGTAACTTTCCTTCTTAACTTTTGCCTCAAGTTAAGAAATCTCAATAGATATTATCTGTTGCATATACAGTTGTACAACTCAGTCTACAACAAATAATAGCTGAAATCCTATTGCCTAGTGTAGAGTAGGCTCATTGAACCATGGAGGATTTGGTGACTCAATTTCTCTATAAGTTCCATTGATTCAACGGGCCTATTCTAATAGTGACTTACTACAGTTAGCAACAAGATTTCAGCCAATATCTATATAGATGTTTAACCAGAGGCAATTTGCTTTAAAAATTTATGCTGTTTGCATTACACCAGCATAACTAGGCAACTGGATCTGACCACTGTGTATATGGAATTTCAATGAAAGTCATCTACATCTCATATATCTTAAGGATGAAATACCTTTTTTAATTCACATGTAAGTCAGAATTCTGCATATAATTGGTGCATGCTAGCTCATGAATGAAACATCTCATGCATAAAATCTGGTGGATACCCTTTAATCCAAAATCCAAGGATTTATTATACACAAATAAAAGCAGAGGATTTTTTTTTTGTCCCCAGACTGGTTGCCATGAAAGGACCTCTTAAAAAAACACTGCTTCATTGTAACAATAATTTAGCAATTATATTGATTCCTGTTCCTGCAATATAACAAAATCTATACTAAGATTTATATTTATTTACTAGAAGTACATGACAAACCTTGACAGCATCTTAAAAAGCAGAGATATCACCTTGCCAACAAAAGTCCGAATAGTCAAAGCCAGGGCTGGACTGGGACCAAAAATCGGCCCTGGCATTTAGAGCACACAGGCCCACCGGCTGTGGGTACACAGGTCCACCTGTTGTGGGCTCCATTATTGGTGTTATACAATGGGGTGGAGTCATGTCCGTACAGAGAAGAGAGAAAGGGGCTTAACACATAACCCTGGCGAGCTCCTGTACAGTATTTAGTATCAAGGCAGAAGAATGATAATATCCCACCCTTACTGACTGTAGCCTGCCTGTCAGAAAGTCCTTTACCCACAGACAGATCATCTGACTAAGTAAAATGGTGTTAAAAGCAGAACTATAATCCACAAATCACAGCCTTACATATGTATGCTCTTAGCCTCTTCATTTTTTTTTCTAAATATCATCTGTTGTTTCACAGTGTTGTGAACCGCCTGGAGTAGCCTTGGTAGCCAGATGGCCAGCGCAGGAGTGGAATGAATGAATGAACCAATGAATAAATGAATGACTAAATGAAGGAATGAATGAATGAGTGAACGAACCAACGAATGAATGAATGAGCGTGTGCCCGAACGAAAAGGATTGGCTGGAAGGTCTCCCAGGGCAGCATTTTCACCAGGAAATTATAGGATGGCTCTGCTTTTGGAA